GTTCTGCTTCTGGAACCTGGCGGGCAGCGTGCGGATCAGGCACACTGGCGCCTCGTTGCGGCCGCGATTAACACTCCCGTACAAATATTTGTAAGTAATCACCGTGTATGCCTTCCAGCAGGTCTACCTATCTGGCACGTTCGTACATTAAATTATCCAAGATAAAATTCATACACGTAACAGTTTCACGTGTCAATGACAATATCACCGCGTTGACTTGAATGATTCAGAACCGACTCGGGGTTGAATGATTCTCGCTTCGTCCCCAGACAGCACACGTGATATTCCGAGGATATCTCGAGGATATTCTGAAAATGTCGTAAGATACACTTTAAGCTGTTCCTACTTCCACTCACTTCTTGCTTGAGCAATAATCGAAATATCCTCAGAATATCCTGGGAACATCATGTGCTACTTGAGAGTCTCTCTCTCTCTTTTTTCCAATTCACGCAAGATCGCTCGCGAAAAGATCGTTTACGCGCTCGCAATTCGCGCGTACGTTGTTGCTCGATGGAAGAACGGAGCGCGGGCGCGTCAATGACGTTGGTGTCGTTGATGTTACTACGAAATAGATGTGTCAGCTAATGGTCAGCTGCGCGTCTCTGCTTCCTCTTTGGGGAATTACACGCGTCGCGTTGCACCACACGGCCGCACACGATCCATCGTATTATACGTATGCGTCACTCTACAATAGTATAGCTGATAGCTAATAGTATCTGCGACCTAAAGTTATTTGAGTTCTTTCACTCGGTTGTATCAAAACGCAACTTCGATAGACACGATCACGGAGATCACGCGTTTCATTGCGGCGTGACATTTTTATTACAGCTTGAACATAGTTCTGCAGAATTTCCGTTCTTAACTTTTGCGTGTGCACAATCAATTTTATTTCTCAGCATTCGAGTAACGTTATCGCATTCGAAGATCGGTCCCTTTCATACGTATGAAAAATTTCTGGAGATATTTCTCAATTGGAGGTATCCTGTTGCGCTGTTAGTTTCCTTGTGGCCGGATGTGCCATTCCGAAATAGAATCGTATAGTTTCTGAGGCCCAGTTTCACAACTCACGGTTAATTCTTAACCGAGGTTCAATTTATTTCCGATCTCTTTCCGATTCTGGAATTGGAAAGAGATGAGGAATAAGTTAAAGCTCGGTTAAAAGTTAATCATGAATTGTGAAATCGAGCCTGAGAGTGTATTCTTTATATGGAATTATATATATTCGTGCGAACATGGCCGCGCGGATGCGATCGAAGAGAAAGAAATTTGTAACTGACGTATTTCTCATAACAATTTTCACATATTTATCATAGAAATGCCTAATCTGCCACATACACACAACTGCAGCTTCCTGTACTTTCTAAGTACTGGCTCGAAAAAAGTATCGATCGACAAAGTGAAGTAGAGATCTGAAATTATAATTATCTAATTCGTCAGAAGTCATTAAGGCCGCTGAATCAGCAATGCCAAGTTAATTAGTGTACACGCACGCGTAGTCTATTCGCGGTCGATCCCCGAGAGTACCGCCGCGCTGGTTACCGCACGAGCAGAAATCTAGTAAATTAATGCATCTTTGTAAAACTGTTAATCGTACCACCTGTCGACGACGTCTGCTTCGCACACCAAGCGTTAAACAACACGACCAACGTGTGCCGAATCTGCGCCGATTGTCTTGAAACGCGTACGAGTTTCGTGTCATTGACGCTCGAGAATCGCGATCGAGCTAAACCAACGAACTTGACGGAATAACTTATTCAAAGCCGATTCCTTTCGTTTGATATTTACTCCAAACGCTTAGTATTTACTCTACGTATTGTAAATCACGGTACAGTATCGATCGCGGTAAACAGAGTATACTATTCGATGGACGCTCTGCTACGAATCTGTTTTGATATCACACAGATTCCGTGAACAAGTGATGAAGCAACGAGCGGATTATTTAAATTTCGAATAGAATAGAGAAAACAAGAGATCTGTTTTCTGTGGCTGAACTAAAGTACTAATATACACTTTTAGAACTCAAAGTGAGATAGGTATATCTTTGGTATTTGTCGAAAGCGATAAAGAGAGTTCCAGTGTAGTCCAAGGAACAGAAAACAGATCAAAGATTTTCATGCCGAGATCGTTGTGACTTTTTACTATCTACGTTGCATCGCGTGACGTCCCGTTTCCTTAAACAGATACAAATAGATGAGTAAGCGAAACTATCAGGCATTGCGGAAGTCTTATCACAAGAACATCCTGGAATTTTTCTGGCTGCATAGATACAGCCTCGTAGTCTCGTTGTCAGTCAGGCAGCGTTGAGTTAATCATTGTAATATGACAAAGCATGCAGCGATTACTTTCTACGTCTTTGAATTCTAATTTGATAAACATTCTATGCCAAAGAAACTAAATTGAACTAAATTAAACTAGAATAAAATAATTATCAGCACGCAGACAGATTCCTGAATTATAATAAATACGATAAACGACACTCGCAGAAAAAATTAAATTTATTCAAATATATGAAAAAGAATTTCTCTCTTCCCTTTTTCTTTTAAATTTTATTTCCTATTTATTTGATTTATCACACTGAGAAAAAAATCTTAATTTCGAAGAAATATTTCTTTGCTTGTATTAAAATAAATTATTCCTTTGAATACGAGCAAAGAAATTTCTTTAAAATTACATTTTTTCTCAGTGCAGATATTCATTACATTATCGAACGCACTGACAATAAATCTTACTTATAATATTGTAAGTGTCGGTGCCATTCGCATACATCTATTCTGCAGTAGAATATATCGATAAAACAGGCTCACTTGATATCTTTGCATGTAAGTGATAAACGCGATTCGTTGCGAATACATGTGTCATTTATTTGTTCTACGTATACATATAAAAATTCTTGCTGAGTGATATCATTTCTGTCTCATAGATAAGATGTCGTCACATCATACATCTTTCCGTTTGCCGTAATAATAAACATTACGAGCCAACTTTAAAATAAAACAAGATATTATATACAGCTGAAGCAATTAACATACTCACTTGTATTTCAAGCAGCAATTCCGTTTTCTTCCGCCTTATATCTAGCAGGATCTTCTCTTGCTCGGGAGTCAATTCTACAATCACAAGACAGTCATCGAATTAAAAATATTCTAATATCAAAACGTGTGCGTTTTCTTGCTAAGTTTGTGCCGATACAGGCGATAAACGCTTTCTCTCTTCAGCTCTCGAAAATAATCGTTCAAGGAAGGGATGATTGCAGATTGGAATGTCGTGTTCCCGTTGCGAAAAGACCTCGTTAGCAGCAATTTACGGAAAGGTCTAAAAATAGGGCTTTCGAATTAAGACTGCATATAGACCGCAGCAGAAGCGAACGTATTTCGATACCATCTATCATGTGGCGATAGTCGCGAATTTATTATTATTATTTTACTTGCCAGAGTTGAGTTAATCTCTTCTTAATCTCAACTGTTATTTTATTTTATGCTACTGTTTTCTAAGAAAAGAATTTTCGTACATCAACGCATAACACAGAGAGATTATATAGGTATATCGATGGCGCCACGATGTCGTGCATTCCTCTCGGAATGTTATCGCAAATAAAGGCGACTTGGGATAGTCCAGGTAACTTGGGACAGAGCATTTAAATTAGATCGTGATATCCATCCATGAGTCATTAAAGAAAAATTTGAACTTTCTTTAGAGACTCAAATGGATATACCACAATTGAATTTAACAAAAGTATGTGCTGTCCCAAGTCACCTATGTTTGCGGTAATTTCATTAGCTAATTTGGGCAGCACGCTAATATGACAAATGAACTACCAAAATGGTAAAAGAGACCGATTATTAAAACTCTCGAGGCATGACGACTGTAACGGTCCTATATCTCCGATCCGTGCTAAGACTTGCAATCAATGCGGAATGCTCAATGAATACTTATTAAATTTTTCTTCTAAAAAAAAAAACAATCGATTAGGTCTTACTCTTAGATACCTGTCAAACGTTAATTAGAGATGTGTACATATAAGTAACTGATTATAAATTAATAATTTGAATATTCTCAGTGATTCCTTTTTTTTTTTATAGAATAATATGTATAGATATATGTTATTGCTAAAAAGAAGTAGCACGAGTATATTTCTTCGAAGGCTATTGCTTCTCGGAAATAATTTGTTCGAATAAACTCGTTCTCGAGGTCGACGTTACAAATACAAGATCTTGGGGATAGATGGATGGAGCGATAGAAGAAAAAAAAAAAAAAATAATCGAGCGCGTCGACCATCGATTCTCGCTGCGTCTTGAGACCGAAATCTTGGGGCGAGGACGCAAGCAAATTGGAGGAAACTCACTGTCAACGTCGTTACGATTTGTTTACTATGCGTGACTGTGCGTATAATGCGTATATGACGGAGAAGGAGAGCGTGAGCGCGTGCGCTCCTGTCGCGGAGAAAGACTCGATATATGTTGGCTTTCGCTCCAGACTCCAGACACGGGTATACCACTCGGAGAATTTATCGATAAACATCTTACCCGTCGTTCCAAATTGATCGACCTGATGAGCACCAGAATTCACTCCTACACTCCCTAGACCGCCCAAATCTTGCCACATCTCCGAAATATAGCACTTTTCGGACTCACGCGCGCACAAAATCACCCACCTTCACTCAAGCGGCTCCATTTTCACACCGAGACTGACGCCGTCTAGCACCACCTGGCGCAGCTGTGGGAACTAAAACTAACGTTCGCCCGTTGTACTAGCGCAACGCAACAGCCACCTAGTGACATCTCTGCTCTGAGGCTTCGATTACATATAGCGCATCCTTTAAAGCCCTGTGTCCACAATGGTCGCGTTCAGTGGACTCAAACAGTTGGGTGAGCGCTCGCTATTATTGGTGTATTCTTTTTGGTCATCCAATCAGAATTTTCAATCTAGAAGAATGCACCAATAATAAAGATAAAATTTATCCTCGCGATCTGTTTTTTTACTAATCAACGCTCGGTGTCACAAAGCGCTGATATCCTGGTATGAGAATTTGGGCTTTCTAGAAGTAGTTTTCTAGAAACAGAAATATTTTAAATGAAACTTTCTAGAAAACACGTCCTCTTATTGGATACCGACGAGTTGAAGCATTTTGTAAATTTGAACGCAGTGAATTTTCCATTGGAAATTGACATGAAATTGAAACTAACCTAAAATATTTGCGAGAGAGAGAAAGAAGAAAAGAAAAATTTGTATTATTATGTTATCTCTTTATTACGAATTTACTTGAATACTGATATATATGAGAAGAAAGGAAAAAGTAAAACATTTTTTATTTAGTTCGATTGTTTTCCTATAAAATATTTACATTATTTATTAAATTACATTTATATTATTATTTTCGCCTTTTAACAGATCAAAATTGGTGATGGGAGAAAAAAATTGGAAGGATTGGAGACCTTTTGTATATGGAGGCTTAGCTTCCATTGTCGCAGAGTTGTGTAAGTAAATAAAAATTAATTATTCTTGCTTTATTGTTTGAAATAATATTTTGGATTACTCGGTACGTATGTATGTCATAGAATAGTAAATTATTCGCATCTCTTTTATTCTAGGTACTTTCCCTTTGGACACAACAAAAACACGTTTGCAAGTACAAGGTCAGAAATGTGATGAAAAACTTGCACGTTTAAAATATTCTGGCATGACCGATGCTTTAATACAAATATCTAAACAAGAAGGAATAAAAGGTTTATATTCTGGGTAAGTATTTTATTATAAAAAGTAAAATATTGTTTGATATTAAATTTTATTTTATTTAAAATTGTTAAAAATGATATTGGTTTAATTATGACAGTGTCAAAGATATTGTATTCATTAATAGAAATAAAAAAATGTTTTATATGTTCGAGGTAAAACATTTTAATATCTTAATATTATTGGAATTATTTTTAAATTTAAACATAGTTTTTTAAATAAGGTTTGTTTTATATCCAGAATTAGCTCTGCAATTTTACGACAAGCAACATATGGAACTATAAAGTTTGGGACTTACTATTCACTTAAAAAAGCAGCGATTGATACTTGGGCAACAGGAGATTTAGTTACAATAAATATTGTTTGTGCAGCATTAGCTGGAGCTATATCAAGTGCGATTGCTAATCCTACTGATGTAGTAAAAGTTCGTATGCAAGTCACTGGCAATAAAAGAAATGTATCTCTGTTTACTTGCTTTCAAGATGTATATAAGTATGAAGGTGTTCGTGGACTTTGGAGGGTATACAAATAATAATTTTAGTATTTCCATACATATATGCAACATTCATACATACATATATGTATATATACTTATCTATGTGCAGGATTTATGCATAAAAATGTATAAAGATTATTTTTTAAACAGGGTGTTGGACCGACTGCTCAACGTGCAGCTGTTATTGCGGCTGTAGAATTACCCATATATGACTATACCAAGATTAAATGTATGAGTTTATTGGGAAATAGCGTTAGTAATCATTTTCTGTAAGTTTTTTTCATCACTAAATGTAGATAACATCTACATAAAATATTTAAAGTATGTTTACTGATTGTGGTGGACTATTTTCAAATTTATGATAAACTATGGTACATATGCTTTTTAACAAAAAGTTATTTACAGAAATGACAGATTTATTATCAATATATTATTTAAATCATATCTATGTTTATATCAATATAAATTTATTAATTCAGGATTAACCCTTATCTGGACAGAAACTTTTTTCTTTTAAAGTGTTGTTAATGTACAACTATATAATTTTATATCTGAAACTTGACACACAGGATTAATAATTGTGAACTGCTATTATGTATGAGTAAAAATCTGATTAATTACTTATAGCTATTTAATAGTAACATAATATATTAAAATGAAATGATGTTTCTATCAAATTCATAGCATCTTTTGAACACAATTTGCAATATGAGAGATGAAGTCTGAATATCTAAAAATTAATAATTATGATATTTGTTTTTAAAATATAAAAAAGTATTAGGAATAAGAAGAGAAAAGACAAAAATTTTGAGGATTTGTATAACAAATTATTATTACAAGATTTGTCATACAAATCAATTTTTATTCTAAAATACATGTTCCACAAGAGTATGTATTAATTACATATTTTTGATTGAGTACATATTTTTGTCAATGTTTTAGAAATAATTTAACTCAAACATAAATATAATTAATTTTGTTTTAGCTTACCTATATTTTAACATTGTATACTTTAACAACTTAAATCTTTTCTAGATCTTATATTAATTACATTGCTTGGATGTTAATAATTTATAAAGATTATATAGAAATGTGTTTTTGTAGATCATATATACTTCTTTTACAACTTGCACATCTGAAAAATATATTTCTTTTTATTATATTTTTAAGAATATATAAATGTAAACAAGTGTGTTAATTTTTAATGTTAATAATTAAATTGCTGGTATCTATTAAGCGAGATGGTTAAAATGCACTTGAAACGGAATAATAATTTAATTTATTAGCTACTTACACCAATATATTTAACAAGACGTTTTAAAAAAATTGGAAAAAATAATAAATATTAAGTTTTTTTTTTATTTCTTTTAATGTAGAAATTAATTTTATTTTGAAACTAACACTTCAATTTTACTAAATTTTTAGTGTCTTCAATTCAAAGAATAATTACGCAATTTTCGAAGTATTCCATATGTTGCACATTGTTATAGAAAGGAATAAAACTCTCTTAAAATTAAAATTTTATTTCCAGGTCCTTTGACATTGTCACGCGTATGGACACATGCGATAGACGGATTTTGAGATGAGCAGAGAGGCTTGACACGGAAGCTGTGTTCGGCACTCTGTGTTTAGTTCAAGAATCATTAAGACAATCGTCCAGATGATTATACATGTTGCTTATTATTATTTATTATAACTACTTTGCAAAGATCTTTTGATTAGCATTTATACATTTTAGGCTTTGGAAATGTCTAAGATTATTAATTATCCATTGTATAACGTCCTTATATTTCTACTGTAAAAAGATTCTATTTTGTGTGTCTATATTTTTATTTCTGTTCATACTTGGAAACACTTCTACTCTGTTAAAATATTGACCATCAGGCACAAACATGGTACTATACATTCTTAATTTTCTATAATGTCTGGATAAGGGTTAATTTTACTTTATAATGTAAATTTGCAGTTAAAAATCTTAAAATAAATTGAGACTATTGTTAATAATTAAAATTTTACAAATAATTAAAAATCATAACTAAAAAATACTTTTAATTAAAATTAACGTAGTTTAAATATATGTATTATAGAATGAATATGTACTTAAATGTGTTTACATTTTTTAGATCTAGTTTTGTAGCTAGTATGGGAAGTGCTGTAGCTTCAACGCCTATAGATGTAATTCGCGTAAGTAAATTATTATATATTTGTATACAACACAATTAAAATAGTTTTTCTTTCAAAAGATATCTTTTTCTTTAGACCCGATTGATGAATCAAAAGAGGGTGCACATAGCTAGTACAACGCCTTCACCATACATTTACAAAGGCAGTATAGATTGTTTGGTTCAGGTATAAAACTTCATTCAATTATATATAAATTTATATATTTATTTTATACATGTATGTATGTACATATATGCGATCTATCATTTCTATTTTCAAGGAAAATAATTTTTTTCTATGTAGACGATTAAAAATGAAGGAGTTCTAGCACTGTACAAAGGTTTTATACCAACGTGGTTCAGGATGGGACCGTGGAATATTATATTTTTTATTACCTATGAGCAATTGAAACAGTTGTGATTCATCTTCGACTATTATGTTGAAAATATTTAAATTCTTCACTGCGATAAGGTCTGGAAATATAAACATCATTATATTATGAACTTAACATTACTATCTGATAATTTCAATTGTATATAATTCTTTAAATGTGAAAGTGACTATTGATTAGTTCCTTAATGCCATATAAAATAAGTAATATTTAAAGCACATAAACGAATTAGACACTGCATTTTTCATCGTTAAAGTAATTGTAGAAATAGGCACAAAAAAACCAGATAATGAAAGTAACCAGAAAAGTCGAAGAGCTTCCCAAAGTACATACAAGCTTCCATAAATGATATTAATTGATAAAGAGTGTAAAGTTATATCTACATTCAATATATATAATATTGCACAGTTACAGTTATGACACATCCATATACTGTTACATGTATGTTATTTTTGATCAATTCGATTTTTACATAATTTGATTCTGCACAAAAAGTTCTTGTATGTAAATCAATGAACAAAATATCAAAATATCACATGTAGAAACAAAAGTTCAGGTTTGTGTTTGATTTGTCGCAATATTTTATACAATACTAGTCATTGTTATCTGCATGAGTATAATAATGAATCAATTGTACTTCAGTATTTTTACAAAGCATTTATTGTCAAATTTCTGGCATACACGCTAGTCATTTTAAGAGATTCTTGTAAAATTAATATAAGGTAATGTGAGCCAAAATTCGGCTATTAATTTTATGAATAATTATTAATCTTATATAATTCATAATGGCCAATTTTTTTATTTTAATTTTTTTTCACTGCAGTTATAAAAGACGGTATATTCTGACATGTATACATACACACACAGTACAAATTTTTATGCTTTTAATTTAAGGTAATACTTATTTGCAACTAAATATTTACGAGTTAATAAACCTAATTAAAAAAACACAATATTACAATAGCTTATCACAATATGAAATTATTTATCTTTTATTAAGAGATAGGAAGACTGATTCGTAGATAAGAAATATTTTACAAAAGAAAAGTGGAATGTAACATTACATATCATTACATGTATGTACACTATATTTTATATATTTTACAGAGTATTTTATAATTTTATATTTATTGGGATTAACTTCAGGGAATAAATTTTCCAAAAGAATCAACTTTTGTTAAGGAACTCGTATCAACGCATTTTTAAGAAATAACATATCTGAAAGCGTATGACATGTGACAATAGTAAGACTAGTTCACATCCTTTCATTTTATTTTTTGTAAAAAGATAACAAGATGTATCAATATACTGCAGCACAATGTTATTGCGCGATAGATTAGGTACCTTAGAGTTAGTTCGAACAAAGATACGTAACTTCTTAAAATGTGTTAGAGACCCAAATTCCTTACTAAAAGTTGATTTTTTAAATGAGATCTACTATCCCTCTTAAAGTTTGTCCCATGAGTCCTGAAACATTTTGTATTAATATATAATTTACATAATAATAAATTACACAAAAATTTTGATATTAATATAAAAATTGGTTTTCTATCAAAAGAATATTATAGACCTGATACATTCAGTTATATTTTTTTATATTCAATATATAAGGTGTGTGTATATTTATGTAAAAAATGCAAATATGTTATTAAAGAAAAGAAATTTAAAAAACCAGAAGTTTAAAAATATATAATTTACAGAAAAGAGTTTTTTTTCTGTTTATCAAATATAAAATATGCACATATTCAAAATTGTAATATAAAAAATCTAATATGAGCTAATTAAAAAAAAAAGGAATTAATTTATGAGCATATTTCTATTTTGTAGTATGAGTATTATATGCTTTTAAATCTTTTCATTTTTTTTCAAATCACTTTAAAAATGTAATTTTATATTATATAATTCTAGAATATCCTATTATACATATATCTATAATTAGTAACAAAAATATGTTAGGTGTCTATATATATTTACATATCTATAATTTTTCTTATACACTGATAGTGATTATTTATAATACTATCAGTGATCATGACATTTCCATATGATAACTTTTCTATCTTTTCCACCTGTTATTATCGAATTACTATCTGCGGCTACAGCTAAGGCGCAAAGCGGTCCTGAAAAGATGTATGTTATAAATTGTCAATAATTTATTGTGTAAATTCTATTGTAGCTGTGTTCGGTTTGTATATTTACGCGCGCACTTTAAGTGCTTATAATCATCGTTCTATTTCTATCACTCAGAAGTAAAACAAGAATAGAAGCACTAAAAGTGTCCAAACCGAACATAGTTCTATAATACAAAAAAAGAGAAGATATTTAATATAAAATAAACTCAAATATCAAAATGTTTAACTATATAAATCATTTTAAGTAAATATATGTCATACTATAGTAATACATAATAGTAACAAATAACCAAAATTTACCATCGTGGCAATGTATTTGCTGAATGAATACAGCCTCTTGATGATTCCAGATATTAAGATTTCCATCGTTATCACCTATCAGCAAGAACGTTTCCATCCATGTTAACGTTAATGGTTCGCTTTCTAAATTGACTGAATATATCTGTGTACTTGTTCGGACATCGATTATATTTAATACTTTGTCTTCTGCACATGATATCACACTGCTGCATTGTTTATCGAAAATTACAGCGTTTACTCTGCATGTGTGACCTTTATACAATAAACGATAAGATATATTAATAAGTAAGATGATAGAAATAAATAGAATCTTATTATAACAAGAAAGAAGGAAGCACAAAGCAAAGCCTATCACGGTCAAAGCTAGATCAAGATGCTTATTATCATTATGTGTGAATTTATATATCGCGTATGTAGTTCTCTCAATCGCGTGCCGAACATTTTTTCAGACTTACAACGCAACTCTAAATAACTACCGCGGTAATATCACTTTAGTTAGATTAACAATCAATCTAACAAATTTCGATGCTTATAGCATCTTATTAGATCTTAATAATATGGGGCGAGTTCAAGACGACAAAGCGGCTAGGTTCGCTTGCCGAGCGATCGAGTATGATTGATTGGATCTATAAGTAATATTCAATCGCTCGGCAAGCATACCTAGCCGCTTTGCCGTCTTGAACTCGCCCATTATTAGTCTGAAAAAATGTTCGGCACACGATTGAGAGAACTACATACGCGATATATAAATTCATACATAATGATAATAAGCATCTTGATCTAGCTTTGACCGTGATATGCTTTGCTTTGTGCTTCCTTCTTTCTTGTTATTGTTTAACAATTGTACGGTCGTAAAAATAAGATTCTATTATTTGTTAGAACCTTATTATATTTCATTTTATAATTAAAAAGTTTTTAATTATAAAATGTAACTAAAAAGCCATATATAAGAATTAAATTAATGTTTGCACGTCAGTGATATATATTAAATATTACTTTTTATGAATATAAATATTTCTTATAAAATTAATTTTACCGTAGAAATACTAGACATATTTCTAGCCTACACTTAAATAGATACAAAGATATAAAAAGACCTATGTAAATTTACATCTCATTGCAATTTTTTATTCATGAGCATATTATGACTATTTAACATGACCAATATTAGTAATTTTAGGGACAGCTTGAAAATAAAGAAACATACATTTACCTTTAATAGTTGATTGTAAATTGTAACTGTTCATGCTCCATAAACATAATTCACCATCTTCTGTACCAGATACTAACATAGTGTCGTCTCTATATAATCAATATAAGAATTTATTCAATTTATAAGCATGAAACAAGTAATACATCGTGTATATTATTAACAGAAATTAATTTATTTAAGAAGTAAAGTTCTTATCTTTTTTATGTATTTATTATAAAACAAACATGATATCTTACCTCGATATATTAATACAAATTACTTTAGAATCATGATCTAATTGCGCGATAAAGCATTCTGTAGGTTTAATTTTTGATCCAGAAGTATAGCCATGCCAAACTTTTGCAGTGCAATCCCATGATCCAGATATAATCACTTGATGAGTAGAACTCCACGCTAAACACGATACAGCATCTTCATGCCCTTGTAGAACATCAATTACTCTGCCGAACTCGATATCGTAAAATATTCTTAAAAAGATTAAAGTATAGTTAAAATTTGCAAGACTATATTAACATATAAAATTTATATTTGACATTTATTTAAAAAAGAAAATCCACGAAAATATATTCATGATCTATACATAAATAAATTTATATTCTTATTTTAATTATGTATATACAATTCGATCACTATTATACTTACAAGGTATTGTCCCATGATCCTGCTACAAGAATGTTCTGTTGTGACAGCGTATAGTATGAGATACAAGAAGACAGTGACAATGGAGATAAGGTAACACTACGTGTCAATTTCTTCTCACTTATATTATACAATTTAAGCATTCCATCTTGCCCTACTGATATAATTTCGTTACTCGTTTTATTTTTTCGTACAATACTAGTGACACAGTCTTTATGTGCTTGAAACATTACCAATTTAGTAAAATTAATTGATTTTTCATTTGCACATGCACTAGCTGGAAAATTAATAATAATGTTTAATGTGCTATACTATATGCAAGTATATAAGCACATTCATATGAATAGCTAAGATAAAAGTATGTTAAGACAATACCTGAAGTTATTGAGTCTGATGAAGTTAATGTTTCGCTATATAATAAATTTGTAGCTGATGTCAAACGTTTGGGATGAGGTAAAGTGAAAACTTGTTTTGGTATCTGTCCGAATTCCATTATTTGCACCTCAAGACCATGTCTGTCATTTATATCTCGTATAGTATCTAAATCTACTGCTCCTTCATAACACAAATGGAAAAATACTGTAAAGAAAGCAAAAATATATTGTAGAAATTTTGAAAACAATCGTGCTCTATAAGATAAATATTTTAAGATTATATTTTAGTATTGTAATTTCTTTTATTTTTCTACTGTGTGTATATATATATATATATAACATAAAAAATCGAATTACCATTGTCAGCCTTATCAGCTTCAACTCCTCTTTGCTTATATCCAAAAATTAGGTCAATCCAATGATGAAGATTTTGAGAAACGTAATCGCTTTCTAAGGCATTTCGCAATTGTTGTACAAAATCGGCTGGTCCTAAATTATTTAATTTTTTATCTCAAATATTGAATATTTATAACAATTATAATCATATTATACAATTGATCACATATAAATAACATAGAATTGATAATCACTTTGTAACTGTTTGCTATAAGAAATACTTCAAAAATATTGTTAATAAATAAAATATTTAATAAAATAAAAACATTTTATATCTATTTTAAAAAATATATAAACAATGGTGATTAATTGTTAATATAAGTGACTAATATTAATTAGAATTAAACATCTCTCATTACCTTTTGCCCAAGGAGGTAGATGTACATCGCCTATTTTTGTACCATCATGTCGATAGCCAAAGTCAATACCATAATTATTCACTAGAAAGTCACCACCATTGTTCGTGTCATAAAACTCTGGTATCAGTTCTTTAAAGTCAGACATGTTCACCAAAACATTTTTCCACACGTCGGCTATACTGTTAGGTGTTTTTGTTCGTAAAAGTGAAACATAAAATCGTTTCTGCACATTTGACAGAGTAATTATATACTTTTACAATATATATTTGAAGCATTTCTTATTTTTGTCTTTTCTTACGAAATAAATAACCCATCTTTCTTAAATTAGTGTTTCTAGCATAATAAATTTTTTTTCATGCGTGCATAAATGTGCGTTGCTATTATAATTTATTTAAGTAATTTTAAAGCAAATAAACAAATCGAAAAGAATTAAATAAAAAATATGATATATACCTGTTGAACATTCTATCTGGATGATCAAATCTCCCATTTTGAAGACAGAGCATATACTGGGGGTATTTCCGTACTAGATAAAACAGTACAAAACCTGGTGCACTATAATGAGAACCATATAAAAACTTCGGATCAGACATTTCCGAAAATCGTTCCTATAATAATAGATATATAAAAAATATTGATTTTTTTCATGTATTTCATAAAAAATAATAAGGACCGATGCACAAAATAACAGTATGAAAAAATTAGGATTCAAAATATTAATAGTATTTATCAAAAATTATAGATTTAATTTAAGAAGTGCTTGAAGAGTATTAAAAATATCATTTAAAAAATTTTAAGATATTGTATGTGCGTATATTATATTTAATAGAAATCTAACATATGTACTTTTAGTCTCTCGAGACGAATAGGATTTAATGCGCCAATAGGTTTCGAAAGATCTCTGTAAACATTAACATCATTTAAATTCAACATTGAAGAAGTATAGTCTTGTATAATCCAAGGCAACACTGGATATTGCGTCAAATCATGAAATGTTCTATCCGCTAAACTGAAACAATACAATAAAATTTAAATATATTCTTTCGCAAAATTTCAACAATAATTAACTTTAAAGTCGTAATAATTACCTATTTACATATAAAATGTAATCATAATTCGATAAAGATCCATTTTGCCATCTCATTGTCATTTGATTTTGTGGTACAGTCTCAAGAGAAACAGCCGATTGTTTAAGTAAATTTTCATGTAGTTTATCTCTGCCATCTTGATTTTGAAACGATAAAAATAAATGTTCAATCTTGCTATCAATTTGTCTCATCCATTTAATTTCCAGACCCTGCAAACAAATTATTGAAAATTTTTATAGCTCTTCTTTATAAAAAATTTTAATAAAACTGTATAATAAAACATTAGAAATTATAAAATATTTACCACTTGTCGCAATAAAAATCTCCTTTTTATAACATTCCTTATATCTTTCAGTTGAATCTTAAGAACAGGATGCTAAAAATCAAACAGTGCTAACATTAATGCATAAAAATAGTACTTTCTCTTCACATTTTATAAAAAAAAAGACTTCAACAAAAAGTTCTGCTGTAGCAGAAAAGCAATTAAAAAAAAAAACTAAATAATTACTTGATCCATATTATTATAAGGTTGAAAGTAGATCCTAGAATTGGTTAATAATACTCTGCCTGGATTTATTACAAGTGGCAAAACTTTATTTGCTTGTGTTTCCAAAATCACTTGTTCATATAAATCCTCAAGCCACGATGTATCAAAAGATACACGTGATTGTCTAGAGTGTACAATAGCCATAATCTTAAACATTAAAAGTATCATTATGATGACTTTAAGATTTACTACAATTCTTTTAAAATACACTATGCAGTGAATATAAGTATATTACCATTGCATTTTGTTCTACAGTTGCTAAACTCGCTGCTCGATGCAACTGCAGGATCTGCGAAAGACTATCTTCTACTTTTGCATAATTGAAACAAAAGTGGAACATAGTATTCTGATGTATAAATCTATATGGTGCTAATATATTTTTCTCTAACATTTCCACATGTTGCTTACATTGTATTGATAGTATATTACTGTAACACATATAATAATTAGATACATAAATGAATAAATAATTGTAACAATAGTAAAATATTTAAAAAATGGATTGGACAAAAACATTAACAATGTTCTTTGTTCTCTCTGTTTCATGCATTTCTTTTTATCATTTATATTAGTTGCATTTATAGCTATATCCAAAATATATTTACCTTACTACATCATTGCTTAATGTACATTGCTCAATTGATGTAATTTCTTTAAGTTGAAGTTTAATTAGTGGCTGATTAATATCTTTATTTACAAATACTAAAGATTTAGAGCATAATTTCAATCTTCCCTCCATCCACTTATCTCCAGAAAATTGAGTGTCTAGTCTTTTTATTTGAACACTATAATCTTCAAAAAATATTTCTCCTGGTTCCAACAGAAGCATTGTAAACCTATAAAAAAAAATTAAATTTTTTTTCTCCTACATTTTCATAAAAATATACTTGATTTTTTATTTTACATAAAAAGATTTTTTTTAATTATTGTTCTACATTATAAAGAGAATAATTGACTTTGTGAAACATTTTCATAGCAAATATAATATTTTAAAACTAAGAAATTTGAAATGTTTGTAAGACCAGTGTGTTTATCAAAGGTCAAACATTTATCAAATTACATATTACGTTTATATATATTACGTAGAGTTAGAATAACTCTATTGACATATAGAATAACATATTGACTTTGTTATCATTCACAAAAATCTTAAAATTAACCTAAAAGATAATATTGAACGATAAAACTTTTTAACCTTGTATCTCACAATTTTTTGTCGGTTCAATTTTTTCATGCTAAAAATACAAATTGTACAAATTTTAGTTCGTAAACATTTTTCTAATAATTTTATCTATTAAAAATTTGTTAATATTTTGCGTACCTTTCCTTCTCCATCGTTGAATACGAAAATAATACATATATTACAATAATTAATATATAATAAACTGTGTGCTAGTAGGCGTAATAAGAAAATTTCATTATTATATAAGTGAACACGAGAACACTTGATTTAACTTTAACAAAACATGATTCAATTTCAACGAAAACGGAGATGACTAATGACAGTTCACTATACGCATGCCATTTCTTAAGGCCCGTTCTACAATACGTCGTATGTCAGCGTCGGATGTCGTGCCATAAAAAATGAACCAATCATGGATGATTGTTTTCAACTGTGATGTGGATTCACACTACGTACGACATCCGACGTACGACAGTATGATATCCAATAGAAGAGCTTGTTTTCTAGATAAATACGACAAGCATCAGTTTCCACCGAGGATTATAATTGGGTCAGAGGTCAGAGTTCAAGAACTAACCAACCACAGTCGAGCATTTCTATCTTACAGTCGAATGAGAAAGGAATGCTCAACTATCGAGCAATACCTTGAATCTATCGAGTTCAAACCGGTAAAGCAGCTGGATATGATTGGTTCCTACCTGTGGATCTAACCAATCATGTTTAATAACTCGGTTGACAGCTAACCGCTTTGTCAACTTGAATGATCTTTGACGTTTGACATGTTTGACTTTGATATTGAAATCCAGGAAGTGCTGAGTTCTTTATCCGATTCCGACAGTCGGAGTGGGAACAACTAAAAAAAATCTATTCGAAAAAATGCTTTCCATAAAAACAACTTATAATGATAATATATTTTAAAAAAATCAAATTGTGTTTCAAAATAAAGAAATCCAATAGCATATAACAATTATAAAAGAGCATTCTGTCTTATTATACTTTTCATTAAAATGTACAGCTCTTGTATATATTTACGTCTTAAATGTAAAACAAAACTTTACATAGTAGCATTAATATATAATAGACAGACAATAAATATAATAATGTTTATCTGGAGACACGATATTGTTTCGGCGCTAATTTCTTATTGTCTGATATTCAGATACAGTAATGTTCTATGCGCATATTTTTGTGTTAATGACATTGTTCACTTTATAAACAGTAGAAATTAGCAAATTCTATGTAATCAATTTACTTTTGCTTTAATATTTATTTAAAAAATTACTAAAGGTATTAAGTTATTCAATAGACTATTTTCCATGTACATGATAAAATTATTATTTCAAATATCATATGTATTTTGTAGCACGTGATGTTTTTTAATGACACTGTTATTAATTCGTACAAGAACAAACAAATATTTGTATGAAGCTAGTAACCCAAGTAATTTCTTATCTAGAGCATAATTTAAAGCAATTATTTATCAATTTCAGTATTGTGTGTATTAACTGAATTGTCTTTTGTATCCTTCACTTCCACTTCCAAAATTCTAGGACCATACAAAAGAACATATGCGCAATGCCAATCACCGCCTCCGCTAAGTTTTAAAACTTCTTCACTAGTAACGGCTGTAACAACATCATCATCACACTTCATCCATGTGTCACCCTTTTGTCGAATCCAACCGACATAATGACCACTACTGCTGGAACGTCCTCGGTGTGTCAAAACAGCTTGTAATTTGTAATAACCACTATTATTCGATCCCAAATCTACAATATGCATATTAAATGTTTAATATATTGAATTTTTGAAATACGATTAGTTACTGAATTCTTTTTTATATTCCCTTACCATCTTTAAACCAGAATGGTTCTTTTCTCATCTCTTTTTTTACACTATCTTCTTTATCTTTAGTTGCGTTACAAGATTCCTCTACCAAAATATCTTCATATTCTTTAAACTTTTCACGCATTGGTATAAGTTTGGTTTGAAGTTCAGAACTACATAATTCAAAAGCATCAAAATCCAAAGGAAATTTAACGTCTTTTAAGATTTTCGCATTAATTGCTTCTTTCTCCTTGTAATAAAACCGTACGAATTGTATGGTTAAATATGCTGGTAACCTGCTAATTTTTGACTGAAAAAAATGTATTAATACATGAATATAATATAGTATAATAAATTTTTTTCATCTTACACATACAGACACATGCGCACACTATACATTTTTATAACATATTAAAGCTATTAATTTCATGTATTAGTATTTATATAATTTTTTTATCGTGTACAGATGACTCTTTTTAATACAAGTTTACTTTGACAAAAATTGGAGTATTAATAAATATACACATATATGTATATATTTAAATTGGATTAATGTATTGTATATATACATAATTAAAAATTTACCGTTTTTGTATAAGTGGCATTTCTTCCAAGTGTTGGTGACATTTTTGTTATTTGCTCCTGCATTTTGTTTCTAAGTCCAAAATACATATGCTTAACATCAGTTGAAATAAAACAACTCAGTTGTAAGAATTCTTCTTTCGCAACAGTGGCTGGCTCATCTTCGGATTCAATACACTTCAACTCACAATCAAATATACCTCCAAAGTATTGTTCAATGAATGATCTTGGTTTAGAAGCTTTATTATTATCTTCTGGTACATCTGGATTGTTCTGTTACAAATATACAATGCTTCCAATGATGACTTCATAATTACAAATAAATAAGTAGTAAGATAATTTAAAGATTTAAAGAGTTGCTAACATATAACATGTCTAATAACCTTTGTGGGCAACTTCTGTTGCAACATTCTAATTAACTCTGTCCAACATTCATTTGCATCTTGTTGCTGAAATACACCCTGTTCGTTTTTTTCTGCAAATCTTGGAAAAGCCAAATGTAGCATTTGAAGCAAAACAAGTGGCGCTCTTGCTGTTCCTTTGTCCATATTGTCATACAAATCCCTTAACGATGCAGTTATACTTTGTGCAGTTATTGATAAACTCGCACCTGTAGTCCAACCTCCTGAGAAAATTTTCAAGGCTTCTCGTAATTCTGGTACAGTTTTTAAACATTGTACTGTTGCATTTAAATAACATGTATTGCCAAGATTAAGTAAACCAGATGGCAAATCTAAAGCAGTAGCCAATTCAGCTTCATTCATGTCTTCCAAGAACACTGGCTTTTCTATTGGCTCTGTAGGTACATCTTCCTCCTTAGAACCCATCATAAGTATTGTGACACCCTAATATAATTGATAATGGATTAAAAATCTTTTAAATATCATATACTAAGCTAACTACAACAATTATTTATATATTGTTACATCTTTAAGCTTTAAATTGCCCCAATCATCATCTTTAAGTGTCATTCCTTTCAGCATAACTTTTTGTCTCTCTGGCTGAACCCCAGTCAACGCAAAGAGCTGTGCTTTAAATAATATTGGATCTTCCTCGGTATTAACTTCTACATTAGAAAAGAGCTCTTTGCCCCATTTTACTTTAACTGAAATATATTGATAATTTATGAGTAAAAAATGAACAAACAAAGAAATGGTAAAAGTACAACAAATTAGATGAATACAGTTGCAAAATATACTTTTTAAAATCTTCCACACATATTATAAAGTTAAACATTTTAAATGATAATAATATGATAAAAATAATATCACATAAATAAAATAAAATAGACATGGATAGTCTAAGTAGTATTAAAAAGTTCAGTGTATAAATTAGAAATTAAATTTTGTTAGATTGTTTTGTTAATTACAGCTACATACATTTCAGATATATTTTAGATTATATTTTCCATAATAAGTTTTGGAATAAAACTAGATTAGTTATTAAATTAACACGTATTATATAGCTAAAAAATATAATATTGGCAGCTCTTTTTCGATTATTGAATTTAATATAAGCTTTTAGGTTAGAAACTCTATGATGATCAAATACATACTTGTGTATTGAGGCATGTTTATTCTTTTTGACTGCAACTTGTCAATACGTGATACCTATAAGATATTTATTGATTAATGCAAAAATTTCTTTTTTTAATAACAATTAAATAATCAAACAAAGTGCTAAGTCAGGTTTGCAAAACTTACGTGTATCAAACATGTGTCACGGTGTCACCACAAAGAATTTTCTGAAATTTGCCACAATAATAGATAGATGGCCAACTGTTCGCTTTGAATAGCACTATATAATTGAACGTTAAAAAGAGAATATAGAAGAAATAAATGGAGAAAGAAAATTCTATTCCAAAAAATATATAGTAACAACTATTAATATACATATATATATATATACATATAAAATTTTGCATTTTAAATAATCATAAAAATTTTTTATCTGGACAAATTAGCTTTTAATTTCAAAATGTTTAATCAATATCTTACTAATTTTGTTATTTCCAGAAAAGTGTGTGTGTGTATGTGTGTGTGAGAGAGAGAGAGAGATTAATCGGTTTCTACATAAGTAAATTAATCTATTTTTCAATACTATTTTTTTTATTAATACAATTTTTCTTTTTAATTTTTTCTTCTCCAATATCTTAATACATACTTAATTTTAAATGTAAAAATAGAATATATGGTTATGTGTGACAACTGAATAATATAAATTATAAATCTATCTATTAATGTATGCACAGCAGATTCAGCCAACACAGTCCTTATAACAATTATAATATATAATCAATAAACTAAAACATCATATATGTATACATATGTAATTATTAAATTTTTATAAGAAAACCTAAACATTAAATAAAATAAGTAATGTTTATAAGATTTGGATTTATGAAACTTTATTTTTGGGGTATACATATTTGCTAAGATTTATATATATATATATATATGTGTATGTATGTTTACTAAATTTATCTGTAAATTAGGACCCACCTAATATATATGTATGCGCGCGCACGCGGGTGTGTGTACATATATATATACATATACACAGAATGTTCTAAAACAATTAATATTTCTGTATATTTCGACTGGGCACAATGTAATTGATCAATTTTAATCAATAATAAGTCGGTAAATAATAGTCTCGAGCTAAAATTGAGAAAGAAATTTTTAGTTCAATATTCCATCCTCCTTCAAACCTCTATAAATTAATTAAGAGTTATAGGACTATACATATATATATATATATATATGTATTATATATGTGTATATGTACGTGTTTGTGCAATTTAGTCAATTTGTTGTTAGTAGTTATATCACATTATCGTAGTTATATTACATATTATGGATTATATTTTACATAACAAAGCATGCTTGCTATTAAACGCACAATTTAATGCATTATACATATTTCATATTATGAAAACATGAATAACATACAAAAAATACTGAAAGCAAGTTTCTAAATAAATAGAATAAAACAATAAATATTACAACTATGTGATGTCTAACAAGAATATCTCAACATGTTTAAAATAGTAGTAGCTGTCATGAAGCTAAGCCCAAACTCGCAAAGTCGCGTCCCAGCTTCCAGTAGACAGGGCAGTACCATCCGGAGAAACCCTTAAACACGAAACTCGATTTTCATGCCCATATAACAGTGCCACTCGTTGGCACTTTAAAGTATCCCACACATTCACTGTATAATCATTGTATCCGGCGAAGAGTAAGCGCCCACTTATACTGAGATCAACTGCGTTTGCTCCGAATATTATACTTTCTTTTGCATATACCGCAACTTCTCTGTCAGCACGTAAATCGAACAACCGACAAGTAGCATCGTCCGAACCTGTTGCCACTGCATCGCCGCCTGGATGAAATCTTACCTATATATATGCACATAAATATTACATATTTAAAGAAAAGCATACACAAATATCAATTAATAATATAATAATCACTTTTCAATCAGTAATATTAAAACATAAAATATGAAAAAATATTTCATTCAAACATTACATACTGAATTAACGTCGGATTGATGTCCTTCAAAACTTTGGACGCATTGACCACTACGCATATCCCAAATTAAGACAAGTTTGTCACAACCACCTGACACAAATGTATTCCCAGTTTCACTTGGTGCTAGATCGATAGACATCACGTCGCTAGAGTGTCCTTGAAAACTCTGTAACAATTGTCCACTCTCTACGTCCCACAAACAACATGTGCTATCTCCACTGCCTGTTAAAATCTGCTGATCGCTGTTAGGAAATGCACAGCATGACATATATGATGTATGTGTACCAACAGTCTTCTTGTGAGCCGCAACATCATCCTCCAGACTTAACTGATATACTGTAACCTTATTATCCAAACCTCTACAACATTTATATGAAACAATATGTACAGTTGTTATAAATTTGGCTTAATGTTTCTACTTTTATAATATACAAATTTTTCGTAATTTATTACAGTTAATATATACCCGCATGCAACTAAATCACCACTAGGACCATAAGCACATGCCATCACCCATCTGGTTGGCATACTGACTGCGTGTTCTTTATTTGTTGTAAAGGCATCCCATATAATCATTCTTCCATCCTAAAATAATGAAGTAGTGTATATTATGGTTTGTGTAACATAAAATAAAGTGCTTGAAAAAAAATGTTTACCTGTGAAGAAGAAACAATATGACGCTTATCAGGAGACCAATCAGAACATAAAACTTTGGCTTGATGACCTTTTAAAATACGTCTAGGTTTTACATTTATACAATTAATTGCTTCAAGTCTATCTGCTACACTGGCAACTGAAAACAAAATGTGAAAAGTATGATATAAAGGGATATATTGATTGGTAATTAAGTCAATTATATTTATTAAGCTGACTTACGTGTAATATCATTTAACTTTTGTCGTTCATCCTCCAAGCGTTTCTTTAAACATTCTGCTTCCTTCGCTAGTTTCTCTATATGTTCCAGCTCGGTTGCAGAGTCCATATTGCGGCTCTCACTTGCTGATCAACTCTTTGATATATAATACAGAAATTTCACGAATAGATAGTCTTCTATACACTAAAATTACATGTATGTCAAAGTTGTACACATACACCTATATATTGTATCAACCCCAATGCGAAATATATATGCATTTTTACGACAATTCCCTCATAATAAAGTCATAAATAATTCATTGTGCAATCACAGTAATAGGCAGTTAATTGTTACTGAATTGGAATTATAAGTGTAATTTGCTACATCCGGAATGTCATTTTTTCGCAAGTAAGAAGAACGGAGACTCATGAAATTCTGACAGACGCCGACATTGTTTCACGTGTTGAGGCTCTTCCTATATGTAATTCTTGCTCTTTACTCCCTTATTGTGCGTTTGTTATTAAGAGAAGGTTGTCACACGAGGTAAACGAGGATAATCGATACGGCGCGGCTAGTGTCCCTTTCGCGATACGAAATAACGAAGCGCGCCGGTGCAATGACGCTTGATGACGCTTCTGCACAATCCACTCAACATGCATCGCGCACACCCAGGCAGCACATGACGTTCTGAGGATATTTTGAGAATATTTTGATTATCGCTCTCAAGTACGAAATTATGGTCTATATTACAATTTTAAGATGCAGCTTTCGAGAAATGATAAAGCTTTTAATAACTCCGAGGGAGGGGGGGGGGGGATTCAAATAAAATGTAAATGAAAAGAAGATAATCGCTCCGTTAGCCAGATAGTCGCGGCAGAAAATTTATCTTCAATCTTATCCTATTAAAAATTTGGATTAATTTTTCTATTTATCAGTACGTAATTCTTCGTGCTCAAATCTCCCGCTTTGTACTGCAGAATGCGTATTGCACAAACGCCCGTGGGAAAATTCGCTTTTTGTTTGACATAATTTCAACAAAAGCAAGCGAGAGCAACCGTCAGCTACCGTTGAAATGCAGGCGGAAAATAGTAGGTTTCACTTTTATGATGCGCAACGGCCACATTTGGATTAAAAAATGTCGAAAAGTTGATCGAAAACGACTGGCGCGTCGAGTGCGATGCTGCAGATATAAATCGATGGCCGCCGATTTCCTGCGCATGATAGGAATGGCTAGCGGGGAGCAGCGGGGAGGAAGTGGACGGGGAGGAAGGTTGGCTGAGGTTCTTCTCATCCGACTAAACCGACGTCGACCGATCGTCTATTCGTCTTTACCTCACGTTAATTGGTAGTTAATAGCTGTTCGTAGCCTGGCCGCTGGAAAATGGCACTCTTATCTTTACGTTTAGCCTCATCCTTGGCCAGGCACTTGCCGAATACCACAGGCCAGGTAAATAGAAGGAATCTCTTTTCATCGTTAAATACACTCGCGGCCATCGAATGTTGCACACATGACAAAACGTGTCGACATTTTCCACTTTGTCAAAATCACCTTATGCTCTGGTTTATGCCACTTGTTCTTGCTCCCGCTGTAGATAAAAAAAAAATAAGCATTCTAATTCACGGATCGAATCATATTTGTACGGTACTACTGACGATGATATATAGTGTATTATGTAAAGTGTGTTAGAACAGCAAGTTATGTAATAAGAGTTTCGGTAGAATGTTTGACTACTGTTATACATATATATGTGTAATATATATACTTTTTTGTATTTTAGATTAATTGGTCTGTGACAACTATTGCTTCCCGCAAGTATCATGTCTCGTGCAATCGCCGTTCAGCAGAAATTTCTGCTATCTTGGAAGAACGCATCCTTGGATCAGCACCAAAGGTAACCCGACCTATCTATATACAGAGTGGCCCACGTAAAGTGTTACAAGCTAATAACTCTAAAAATATTTGTCCTATCAGAAAGTTGTTCATGAGAAACTACGTAAACAAAAGTCCACCCCAGTTCTCCCTTAAAGCAAGGCAGGGGGTAACAATAAAGTTTCAAATGAGACCCCCTGTAAAATGTTACATATTTGGATTCTATAGGGTAAAACAAGTAACCTTTGTCTGAAACATTTCTTTGGAAAATGCTTCTATCAAAAGTTATAAACATTTAAACTTTAATGTAGAATGCATTGAAATGAATGATAAATAAGACTCAGTCTTTTTTTTATTTTATTAAGTGTTTAAACTATTGACCATTAACATCTAAACTTATTAATTCTTTTTACAAAACTTTGCCTCACTCTAAACATTTCTGGAGTCATCTTAGTGCAAGCAGTATGTATTCTTCGTTTTAAGTCCTCTTTTGTCATAAATGATTGAGATGTGACTTTTTCTTTGATATACTCCCATAAAAAATAGTCCAAAGGTACTACCATCTGGAGACATAATAATGTTTTGATATCAGGTGAATGAGGGAGCCAGGACTTCCCAACCTATCCACCTGTCAAAATATCTTATTTAAAAGAGTACTACATTCAAAACTAACTAAATACATGGTAGATTTGCATTTACGTTTTCTGATAAATGTGTGTTATGTTTTTTTTGGGTGACATCAAGGTCATTTTCATTTTCATTGTATCATGAACACAACTTTGTATCAATGGAGTTTAATTGTGAATAAAATAGCTAAAAGTTTAAATGTTCATTACTTTTGACAGGAGCATTTTCCAAAGAAATGCTTCAGACAAAGTTTACTTGTTTTTTCCCGTAGAATCCAAATATGTAACATTTTACAGGGGGTCTCATTTGAAACTTTGATGTAAGTTTCTAACCCTCCTCTCTTCTTCAAGGGAGATAGAAGTGGATTTTTGTAGTTAGAAAGATCCCTCGAATATGTGAAACTTCCTCATGATTTAATTTTTTAATAAGACAAATTAGAGACAAATTTTAGAGTTATTAGTTTGTAACACCTTATGTAAGCCACCCTGTATATAACTAAAAATTAATTAAATATTTTCATTTAAATTATTTAATGTGGCATGATTAAACGTTTCATTTTTATTAATTTTACATATACATATATACTTTCACAGTTTAAAGATATTAGTTTTAAAAATATCTAAAGGAGGATGTACATTTTAGGCGAATCTTGAAGAGACTGGTAGGGTACTCAGTATTGGAGATGGTATTGCACGTGTATATGGATTGAAGAACATTCAAGCCGATGAGATGGTAGAATTTAGCTCAGGTTTAAAGGGTATGGCACTGAATTTGGAACCTGACAATGTGGGTGTTGTCGTATTCGGTAATGACAGGCACATTAAGGAGGGTGATATTGTCAAACGTACTGGTGCTATCGTCGACGTTCCTGTTGGTGAACAATTATTGGGTCGTGTCGTCGATGCCTTGGGTAATCCTATCGATGGCAAGGGGCCTTTAAACAACAAATTAAGATTCCGAATTGGAACAAAAGCCCCAGGCATTATTCCTAGGTAATTTATGTTTTTATAATTATAATTTTTTTGTAATTATTTAATATTTCCAACAAAATCAATTGATTTTTGTTTTTGAAGAGGATTTTTATGAGAAATAAAATAACTATTATTTAGTATTATATATACATAAAATTATATGTACTTTTTTTTTATAACAGAGTGTCAGTCAGAGAACCTATGCAAACTGGAATTAAAGCTGTAGATTCTTTAGTACCTATTGGTCGTGGTCAACGTGAATTGATCATTGGAGACAGGCAAACTGGAAAAACTGCTCTTGCCATTGATACTATCATCAATCAAAAACGTTTCAATGACGGTGGAGAAGAGAAAAAGAAATTATACTGCATTTATGTTGCTATTGGCCAAAAGAGATCTACTGTTGCACAAATTGTAAAACGTTTAACAGATAGCGGTGCTATCAATTATACTATTATTGTATCTGCCACTGCCTCTGATGCAGCTCCTCTTCAGTACTTGGCTCCATACTCTGGATGTGCTATGGGAGAATTCTTTAGGTGGATATATTTAAAATTTTCTATTCTTTAATTACATTGAATTAGTCATCACTCTATTTAACATTATTCATATTATCCGATTTTTATTTAAAGTACATGTCTTAATTAAAGTTAATATGATGTTATTAGTATGTGTGTATATATGTTATATATCAAATTATGGCTGCAAACTAACTAGAGTTTATTGTTTTACAGAGATAATGGAAAGCATGCTTTGATCATTTATGACGATTTATCTAAGCAAGCTGTTGCCTATCGGCAAATGTCTTTGTTGCTTAGAAGACCACCGGGTCGTGAGGCCTATCCTGGCGATGTATTCTATCTTCATTCTCGTTTGCTTGAAAGAGCTGCCAAAATGAATGAAAATTTAGGTGGTGGATCGTTGACTGCTTTACCTGTAATTGAAACACAAGCCGGTGATGTATCTGCTTACATCCCTACCAATGTAATTTCTATTACCGATGGTCAAATCTTCTTGGAAACCGAATTGTTTTACAAAGGTATCCGACCTGCTATCAACGTCGGTTTATCTGTATCACGTGTCGGATCTGCTGCTCAAACTAAGGCCATGAAACAGGTATTGTAAATTTTTTTATTTATATAATCAGCACCAAAAGAATTATAGAATATTAATTTAAAATACAAATATTGTGTTACTTTTGATCGTGTAGGTTGCCGGTTCTATGAAATTAGAATTGGCTCAGTATCGTGAAGTAGCGGCTTTCGCTCAGTTTGGTTCAGATTTGGACGCTGCAACTCAGCAATTGTTGAACCGCGGCGTACGGTTAACGGAACTCCTCAAACAGGGACAATATGGTAAAATTGTCACATTTTAAATTTAAAATGATCATGATATAAATCAATTCAAATTTTACATGATTCTGTTTTTAGTACCTATGGCTATTGAAGAACAAGTAGCAGTCATATATTGTGGCGTACGTGGTTATCTTGACAAAATGGACCCATCAAAGATCACTAGTTTTGAAAAAGAATTTCTTGCACACATCAGGTATATATAAAATATAATTTATACAAGTTTTTTTCTTAATGTATACAAATTTATATATTGTTCTTTTTCAGAGCCACTCAACAAGATCTTCTTGCTACCATCGCGAAAGAAAATGTAATTAGTGAAGCATCAGATGCGAAACTGAAGAAAGTAGTCACAGATTTCCTCTCATCCTTCTCGTCGTAGGGCGTGATCATCGAATGTCATTTTAATGCGAGTCAACATAGATAATTGAAGAACATAAGATGTTCTTAAAATTCTGCTGCTGGTGTGCGTTAATGTACCGATATTACGCATCACCCTACAATGTTATTATATAATTATGTATAATATCTGTACATTAAAAATATTATTGCAGCAATTCCATAAGACCTGTAAACTCGATAGCCATCTACAGTATATTGATATACAAAAAAAACGATCTTTAATAAAAATTAAAACCTACAATGTTTTAGATACATATTATTTCTTATATAAATATGGAATAGTAAGAAGCAATATAAACTTTAGACAATTTACAAATAAGATAAGTACTAATATAAACAGTTTTCAAAATATATTTTCTCAATTTGTTTTTAATTCTCTTAAAATATATTTTTTTACACACATGCTTTGCATAAAATTAAATTAATCAAAATTAAAGTTAATTCTAATTCCTTATACATTTTTAATTCACAAATAATTATGTACATATATATATATATGTATATATTTTTCTAACTTATACACACTCCTTTACCATTCTTTTCCAATTCCTATAACTTGTGCAAAATCCAAGATTTACATTATACATTTTATATAAATCTTTTGCAATTTTTCAATCATAAGTACCTTTTCTTATTTACTGATTATATGATTACTTAGTTTGTGTATTGCACAATTTTGCAATTATAAAAATAACAATTTTTTCCCCTAACATCTATTATATTCTATTCTAGTTTATATAAAACAACAATCAGTTTAACTAAGAAATCTTATCGACATTTTCTGCTCAACATCTGTACGTTCTAATGCCTTACAAAATTCTTCGAATGATATCATACCATCACCATTTTCATCGGCCTCAACTATAGTCCGTTCTGCAATACTGGTTAGTTGTTCTTCACTGAAATAAATATGTTTGATAAATTGCCAAATTTATATTAAATATTTTACTCACAATTATAGAAATGCATATATAGGATATCTGAGTTATGGATGCATTGATAATTGTAAAAAAGTTCTTACCTAATATTTGCACCAACCATCATATGTAAAATAGCAAGTAGTTCATCTTTTGATATCAGATCGTCGTTATCCAAATCATACATTTTAAATGCAACTAAAAAGATATTTAATAATAAATTCTTAATGAGTGTCTCATTTATAAGACATCATTATTATCATTTCATATATATTTGACAATATTTACATTTCAACTTTTGCTGCCTAGAATTCAATCGATTGGGACTGTTCTTCTTGATAGGTCTAAAATGGGCCAAAACTTGCATAAATTGTAGAAAATTCACTCTGTCATTTCCACTTTCTTCAAAGAAAGCATTCACTATTCTTTCACCAAGAGGATTTATCGCCAATTCTGGGATTCTGAGAAAATCTTCTCGACTAAGTGTTCCACAATCTCCGCGATCGAGACTTGTAAAGCGGCTGTACAAACGTTCAATCTGATTTGGTGTAACTGTAATAGAGAGTGTCAGCATTAATGTCACATACTAATATTTGTCTTATTAAAAATTATTTAAATAAATTTCGAAAAAAATTAATGAGGTTAATTAATTCATCTCAGAATGATTAGACAACTTGATACTTGCAACCAGTAGCATTTTGTATCTGCGCTATTTCATCCTCGCGTAAAAGAAGACTTGACCTGTTACCCATTTTTGGTGACAACTGAAATTTAAATTCAAGTTTATAGGTGGAACATCAAATAGATACTTGAAAGAATAATTTACACAAAATGCAATCGTGGCAAAAACGCGTCAATCAATCGTAAACAATTAATCATATGACTACATATATGACCACCCGCACCCCGCACTACCCGCAACCCAAAGCTTCCTTTCTCTGTCAATTCTATATCAGAGAAATTAAGGCGCGTTCACATCTCGAATTCTCGACAGAAAAATAGATAGTAAAAAAGCAGCAACCAATCAGAACTCACAGATAATTGACAGAATGACTCGTGAAAATGGACCTTGAAAGGTCTTTATAAATTTCTCTCGTTTGTCGATTTGTAATTAAACGTTGGCACCACTGATTCGTTTTGGCAAAATGTCTCTGTTGTGAAGTGGTTGTTAATCGCGACTTACGACGATATTTTCCAAAACATACAAATAGCGATTGCCGAAGAGTCTTACGGTGATCAAATTTTGTGAAAAAGCTATATAAAGTAAGTTTCAGTGATGACACATAATTTCTCGTCACATTGATTTATCATACCAATTCAATAAGTGCTTTGGAACTCGCGTAGAAATTGTCTTGGTATCAGATGTTTTACATAATTTAACATGTTTTGATGTGGTATTAAATAATATCTGACGTTACACAATGATCGATAAGTTGTAATTTTACGCGTTGCATCTGCTTTGATTTTCCTTGACAATCTATTGATACTCTACAAGGATTTTTTGATGAAATCAGGATGAGCGCCAGGCTTCTAAAAGATCCTGCTACTGCGTCTAGCCGTATATTTATAGGCCATTTACAAACTGACGATATTACGAAGCTGGAATTGGAGGAGCATTTTGCCAAATATGGCATTGTTATAGCATCAGTGATAAACAGAGGTTTTGGATTTGTACAGTTTGAAGAAGAACAATCTGCACAAAATGCTATTCAAAAGGAAAATGGTGCAATGTTTAAAGGCAGACGTATAGGTACAGATATAACCAGATTTTTTCCTTTTCTCATGTTGTTACACATTCTTCTATTAATTTTTTTTATTTTAAAAAATATATAAAAGATATATAGAGAAGTAATTCAAAGTTTGTTTCTTTCTAATTCTAATTTATAGATGTTAGACCAGCAAAGAAAGATACTCAATCTAGTGGTGGTATAGGAAATGCAAATACAAAACAAATTGGCGGATTAAATAACCAGTTTAATTCCATGAATCAATTCAATAATGCAAACGAATCATTTGGTATGAATAAACCAAATTATGCTGGTGGGATGAATCAGAATTTTGGGAATGACAATATCTTTGGTAACAATCAAAAAGATTTGAATACTCTATCTAGAAGCGGTGGAAATAATCTCTTTGATGATGGGAATCAAACTGGAAGTAAGAATAATGATCAATTTAATGGAAAGAATAATAATAATAATAGTGGAAATGATCATTTTAATAATCCCATGCAAAATCGTGGAAATAATCAATTTAATACGAACAATCCAAATCGTGGAAATGATGGTCCTGGCAATCAAAATAGAGGCGCTAACAATCAATTTGGAAATAACAACCAAATGGGAAATCAGAATAGGCCTGGAGGAAACCCAAACCGAAATCAAACTAATATAGGCAATAACCAAAACCAAAATGCCAGTGGTATAGGCATGGGAATTGTTAGACATCGTGGAACAAGAGGAGGAAAGAACAGAAATAAAAACAATCAGAACAATCCAAATAATCCAAATATAAATAATTTCAGAGATCGAAGTCCAATTAATAGAAATAATCGGATGGAAGATAAAACAAATAGAGATTGGGATCTCAAACAAGGAGATAGACTACGCAATAATAATTTTCCCAGAGATTCATTTAATGATAGTGGAAGTCGTTATGATGATTTCAAAGCTCCTGGACCTAGAGAGACAAATACTAATTTTGGGTAAAATGTCTTTGTTGTAATGATAAGTAATACATCTCTCATTTCAAATAATGTACAAATAGTTATAATTCAATTAAAGTTTCCGAGATATGATTATTGTCAGTTTATTAATTTGTGCACATATAATTAATAAAATATCTGTTTATATTATAGGAACACTAGTGGATCATCTGATTATCTTGCCATCGCAGCTGAGAAGAATGACTGTGAAATTATTGTTGTTAATAAAGCGTTAACGTAAGATTTTACAAGATTACAATTTGACTAAATATTTGAGTTACGCATATAATATTTTGTATCTTAAATATGCAGGAAATATGCAGAAGATATCGAATTACGTTTGAAGCAAATTGGTTTAATGGTAGATTTGCTGTTCCCAAATGAAGATGTTCCTTTAGGTCGTGTTTTGGGAAATATAGCGAGTCGTGGCTGTCTGTATGCTGTAGTCGTTACACCTGTCAATCACGAGCATCATTCATTAACATTGAATATTTTACATGGTTTGCCACAAGGTAGAATCAATAATTGTAACGCATATAAAAAATTCCTTGTTTATACTTGCAAATATGACATTAATTGATTGTTATTTTATATCGTGATATTGTAGAACACAGAAACATGCCTGTTGAAGATGCTATAAACTTGATTTCACGAGATTTTGCAAATTATAAATCTGGTGGCCGTTCGGTTCCTTTGAATACACCTCTTTCAAGCGACCGTCATCCAGACGCTATTCAAGTTCTTCTTAACATGTTGGCTGATAATCATCAGCTTACAGTTTTGCAGTATGATCGCGTCATAAAGTATCTCGATATAAAACGCGAGGAACAAGTACAAGTTGAATTGGGTGATGCAAAAGATTTGCCAGTAAAAACATCGCTCACGTCAATCAGTGATCCGAAACAGGCAGAATTACAAACAAGAATATTAAATATATTAAATAGTAATAAAACTGCATCAACAACAGTGGAGCCTAGTCCAGTACCACCACCAACTCCAACGCCAGTCTCGGTATCATCAGCTAATTGGGGGACAGGTAAAAATTACAAATCGTAAAATTGCTTTGACAAGAACGATCTACAGATTAATTACATGCTCTTTATCACAAATTAAAATTATAGTACATAACATTTACACACACACACACACACATACACACACACACAAATCTTAGATGTGAAATTTCTGTAAATCTTTGCAAATAAAAATTTTGGTTCTAAACAGTGATGGCAATACTTCACAAGTAAACATTTTTGCAATACTGAGCAAAAAATCTTAGTTGCAAGTTTTTTTAGTACACCAAAAGTAAGCTTTGAAAAATTTATCTACATAATTATGTGTAAGTATAGTACTTTATAGTTGGTATAAAATTGTAAATTTTATAAATATTTATTATGTCAATAGCATCAAACACGGTCACCTCATCGACAACAACCTCTTCTACAGGAGTTTCACCTTCACCTCTTCTAAATGATCCGACGGTTCAGAAAGCTCTTGACAGTCTTTTGCAAGGTAATCTATTGAAAAATATCGGCGATCAACCAACACCTACAACAACATCTGGAGCACCATTATTTGCTGCTTTCTCTAATATTGGTAGATTTTAACCGCTGCATTGAATTTTATTATACAATCTTATAAATTTTCGAATTTATATTTTCTCGATTTTATTCCGTATTAAGTATATATTCGTGAAAACGCATTCAACAAAAAGAAGATGTAGAAGCAACATTGCAAATATAATAAATATTTTAGTACATTGTGTATATTAACGGTGTAAAATGATAAAATTCAAGATAAAAAATTATAATTCTGAATTGCACAACACAGCTACATAATTATATAATTCTGGTATTCACGTAATTACTGTTACTGCCTATATGTATGGTATATTATATCGTTGATAATATACTTCTATAACCATAGTTATGTGTTTGAACTACATATGCTTTAATAAATATTATACATAATTTATCAGACAAGTCTGATAGTATATACTTTACATTGCATACAAATGCTCGAATATATAAATTATTAGGCAATATACACATATATATATACACACATCTAAAACATTTTTTTGTTCAAAACAAGAATTTTATTTTTCATCAGCATAATATTATGTGAAAATCAGTTTTTATACAACTTAGAATGTTAGATAAATATTCAATATAATTAAAGATACACTCTCTTTTTATTATATGAAAATCATTTTAATCTTCATGTCCCTGTATATTATAAAATATTTTTACTAATATTGTTCCTAACAATTGTTTCTCCGTTCAAAAATTACGATAATATAATAAGATAGTAAATCTAATAATTAGATATATTATATAATAACTAGAATTTAATGTATTTTTAAATTCGTTTTTGGTTACTAAATGTTAATTACATAAGTTCATATTTGTATAAAATTTTTTAGTGAAAGTAATAATATATTTCTTTTCAAGTAAACATTATCAGAATCAATACATATATCAATACATATATTCAAGTTTTATTAATATTATTTAGTTATAAAATTTATGAGGCAAAAAGTTGTAAATTTTATTAGCTATAATATTAATAATTCAATTGTATAATATGTTAGAAATATATTTAAAAAATTATTACTGTACCCCATATACAATGAATTTTTTTTGTATATTTATATATATATATAATATATTCCTTTATTTAATATACACAAATGTACAATATGTAAATTCATTAACATCACTAAGTTCATATATAACATAAAATTTAAATATAAAAAATGTTATGTAATAAATTAATATTTGTACTTTATATTTGTCTACAGATTAAAAATTTTTTTTTGCATAACTTGTATATAATTGGAAGTATATACTCTTCTGTTATATTGTATATTCGAACGATTTTAACTATATTATCCTATTTGGATGGCATAGCATTTCAATATCTCACAAGGGCAGGTTCCCGTTGCCTATATTTTTAAATTGCATATACCGTTCACATCGACCGATAACTTTTCACTGCTTTGTCAGTGAACATGTTTTGCATTTAAGTTGGCCAATTAGTGATACGTCCAAGTTGGATGCAACTCCAAGCCGGACCTCTTCCTCCAATAGGAGAATTGATTTTCTAGGGATTCTAGCTTCTTTTCTAGTAATATTTTTGTAGTAATCTTCTCTAGAGTTGATAAAGCTCTCCATTGGATATCGAACATATTTATATCTATATTCCTTATTACCAAAGACTTTCTCCAATCAATACGAAAAAAATAATAAGAAATACGAGAGAAATATATAATATTTTTATTCTGATTTAAAATAGAAATTAAAGGAAGAGAGTAAATATAAAATAAATGCAGACGAACAGTACAACAAATACACGAAAAAGGAATGACAGATATGTCGCGAATCGTAAGGATTCTAAAAGACGTAAACAATTTGTGTTGGAACCCGGTATGACAGGATTTCTATGCACGTGTAACTTTCACGAGAGAGGCTGCATCATCGAGGCCTATAGATTGCTCAATTTGTTTGCGGATGAGAAATCAGACATTCATAAGGTACTTGGTTATGTAGAGAAAAATATATAGAACATTTGTGAATATTTACTGTTAATTATAAATGTATATTTTAATTTTCTCTTCATTTTAAGGAACCTGAAACGGCAATAAACACCCTTGATAAAAAAGAAACTGTTAAATCTTTAGAGGACATTGATGACGATGAAGACATATCAACTGCTCTAGAGAAAGAAATCAATGAACTCAAAACTGAGTGTGAGATGCCATTGTCTTCTCGAAGATTTCAAGTATATTTGTGTTATATTGACTAACTATGAACTTATTTCCCTTAAGATAACATTTAAAATTATTAATGTTATTGTTTCCATGTAGGTAGTAGATACAGGTGTCAAAAATATGATTTTTATAACAAGTACCTTACCAAATCCATTAGAATTGGTTACCAAAATTGTCTCTAAACTAGATACAACCAAAGAACAATGTACTAGATACTTATTAAGATTACTTCCAATTGAAGTTGTCTGCAAAGCATATATGGATAACATAAAGACAAAAGCAAATAAATTGTTTGAAAAGTATTTTGCTCAAGAACCTAAGACATTCAGCATTGTGTTTAAGTAAGTTAACATGTTGTATTTTGTATAACCAATCCTGGTATTTTATTTGTAAAGTTAATAATGTTCTAGTCGTCGCAGCAATAACAGCATTAGAAGAGATGAAATCATTGAAGATTTGGCAGATATAATATTGAAAAAAAATCCAGGTAATAAAACAGATTTGAAAAATCCAGACATAGCTGTAATTGTCGAAGTAATACGTGGAATTTGCTTACTCTCTGTTGCTCCTAATTACTACAAATTTAAGAAGTACAATCTTCTCGAAATATGCAACAATACAAAAAATAAGGTAAAACTTTTCATAATAGTTATATAACTTTAGAAATTTATTTTATATGTAAAGATTGTTATTTACATACTGTTGATATAATAAATTCGTAATGTTTTCAAAATAAATTAAAAAAATTGTTTTAGGTAATCTCTAAGAAAGATTTAGCAAATGAAGAAAATACCGATACAATTATATCAGGTACAGAAATACAAGTCAAGTGTACTGATAATAATAAAAATTTGGATGTACAACTTGAAGAAAAAAAACAAGCCAACTAAGCTTGTTGTTTCAGATAATTTTGTAAATATATATAGTGATATCATTTTATGTTTTATAAAAATATATGTAGAAATATGAATAAATAAATATCACATAAATATGATGTAAAATAATTTTTATGAATATTCTAATAAAATTGTTAGTAACAATTTTAATTTAAACTAATATTTTTATGAAATATACTATATATATATAAAAGAACTTAATTTAATTTAAAATATTTGAAATGTGTATGTCTGGATATATATATTGTTAAAATTAGAGTAATATCGAGCATAAAAACTTTCAAACTCAAGGTCCCATGGTGTAATGGTTAGCACTCTGGACTCTGAATCCAGCGATCCGAGTTCAAATCTCGGTGGGACCTACTCGTTTTTTTGTAACTACATATAATTTTCAATTTTTTGTAATTCTGGAAAAAAATATATGTTCTTGTATTTAACATATTATTATTACCGTTATGATATATTTTCTAATTCAAGTAAAAAATATACAATAAATTTAAAATGTGAGAAGAAAATTCTTTTAGTACCGTCAGTTGCTAACATTGTTCTTAAATTTTAAGTCATATATTTCCCTAGATTTTTTAATACGTTTCTTTTTAGGGCATGCATAGAAAAAATATTAGGAACGGGAGTAAACATTAATTAAATTTATTAGAAACCGTATATTCCGGTATAACTGGTATCTAATGTAGGTTGAAATCTTAATATTTATTCTTATATTTCTAATATTTCCTCCAATGTGCGCAGGGCCTAAGAGTGGGATCCTGTAAAGCCAGAGAGAGGCAGGTAGAGAAGAATGTTTGTACTTTAACTGTTCAATTTGACAAGTGTTGACATATATGAATACAAGTGACAGAGAGAGAGAGAGAGAGAGAGAGTCAAAAGAAAACAATAAAATAAGATACACAACGGATAAAATAATAGGAAACGAAACGACAGAAAAAGTTAAAACTATTACATTTCTGCAATAAGCAATCAACAAACAATGCAGGAAGAGTCGAAAGACTTAAAAAATATTCCAAAATTAGGAACTATTCGAAAGTAAAATTGTTTTGTTGCAAATGATATATTTAAACGAGATGAAAAGTTTCATTTCATTTATTGATTTAATACACGTTTTTGTAGAATTCGCAATGTTGCAAGTACACCAGAAATTGCAAGAAATCTGTCGGAGACCTTACCTTTACACAGTGTTTCTAGAACCATTTCTCGCAGTAGAGTAACCTTGATGCCAAGTGATATTACGCAGTTACAGAGTAAGAAAGCTCTATTGAAAACTATTTTACTGAATTTTTTTGATACTGCTTTATTTGCTATTACATTTTAGTATTGTTATGTTATTCATATAGAAATACCGAAAAAGAAAATTGCTGTAGACAAGCAGCCAATTATGCCATCACAAATAGTATTGGATGCACAAAAGAAATTAGACAGCGAAGAATTAGAGCTTGGACTTCGTTATAATGAATATTTACAAATTATGATGATGGATCACATATTAAAGAAGAAGATTCAAGAGAAAAGCCGTATAATGGTCATGCTAATAGCTGCCATAGGACAAGAGATTGCTCAAGATACACAAAAATTGATTAAAATTAAAACAAGGGAACGCGATATAATAAATTTAAGTTTAGCACAAAAAGAAGCAGATGATCAATTGATTGCAGTGACAAAATATACTGGTAAGATATATATATAAATATATATGTATAAATTAATTTAAATTATTTGTTTTTTACAGTTATTTTTTTTTACAGAAGATGAAACATTTAAGATTGTACAAAATATGTTATCCAAGTTATATGTTCTCCTAGAACCTCTGGATGTATTGCAATGTAAAGGTATAATGCTTCCTGAAACAGAAATGGAATGGAAAGAAATTCAGGAAATATCACGTAAATGTTCAAATGTTTTAAAAAGTACTATAAATCTAATAGGATCAAAAGGCGAAACGTATTGTGCTGTTAATGCTGGATTGAAGAATTTTACTGAAACATATGACGAAATAAAAGCTCTTCAAAAGAAGTACGTTATAAATATTATTTTTATCATTTTTAATTAACTTTTGTTGAATTAATGTGTTTTAAGGCATATAATTATATATTATTATATATTTATTTATTTGTATTTATATGTTTCAGATTGGAAGAAGCACTGTGTAATTTACAAGTACTAATACTGAAAAATGCTTCACTTTCAGTTGCATGTAATGATAGTGAATAGACAGAGACATGTTGGAATTGTTCTTTTTCTTATTTGAATATAAATGTCCCAGGTCCTCGTTGACAAGGTAAACTTGGCCAGTCGTACTAGGCACAGTCAAAGCTGACAACGCTTTCCAAAAATATGATGCAACTATATGGGTGTTTACGACAAACCGTTGGATTTCTAATCTGTTGGAATTGTTGTTTGAAGAAATAGATTGTGTATAAAAATACGAAAATTGAATGACTTGGAAACTTTTTTGGTGTTGCATAAAATGTATAGGTGTTGTTGAATTTCATGAAACACAATTAAATTCATTTGAATAAAATCTATTTAATATTTTTGTAGAATGGTGTCAAAGTTATTTTCTTTTTATGAAGTAAAAGGAGTAATTTAGATTTTTATGTGATCGCTCCATATATAAAATTTCATAACTTTCTATTTAGTAACAAATAGTGTGATCAAGCCGATCAAGTTCGATCTTTTTTAGATGCAATCAATCAATACCCAATAGGAGAATGTTTCTTTTTAGTGACTTGTGAGAAAGAAACGAATTTTCCTATTGGATATCGCGTGCGTTCCGAAAATAATCAAAAGAAAAAGCACATGTTCTTGTCCAGGCGCAAAAGCGATGGATTGCGGAAGGCAGAGAAGGGTGTGAGACGGTGTAATGTGAGTAGCTGGTTTGATTCACGTAGCAGCATGACACGAGTTTTGCGGTGTGTCGGGGATCTGGCGAGTGCTGACGAGCGCGGTGAGGAGTGACAAGCTGGAAAGCGCAAGCAAGAGCAAGCGAGAGCGTACACATACTCGTGTTGACTCGTGCACGCGACTGCGGTAACGTGCGCCGTTGTAGGCAGATTCACGCGAGGAAGCGGCGCTAATTGTTCGAGATGGCTGGTGCGATGTTATTCGAGCGGGCTCAGGCTGTTTCGGTGACAAACCGCAGCGAGGGTATCTCGTTGCTGAACGAGATCGTCTCGGATCCAAGTATCGGTGTTGCCGAAGATGACGAGGATAACATCCGTGTCAAGGAACAGGGTATCCTGCACCTGGGCGAGCTCTACAAGAAAGAGGGCAAGGCAAAAGAATTGGCCGAATTGATCAAAGCCACCAGACCGTTCCTCAGTCTTATTAGTAAAGCAAAGGCCGCCAAACTCGTGCGGTCCTTAGTTGACTTCTTCCTGGATCTGGAGGCTGGTATCGGTATCGAGGTAATATGTTCTATCAATGAATAGTCAGTAGAATTAGGTTATGCTGTGTCAGTTTTGTTCTGACCATGAAAAATGTCAATTAAATGCTTGTTGAGACACTTGGTGCAATATAGTCCTTATTTATATCGAGCTTAATAACAATAACATGAAGCAAAAGTCCAAGCAATTTATGTTTAAATGTATATAGTGTGTATAGTTTTGATATACAGTTTTTATTTTTCTCTATTACAAATGAAAAAAATAACTCAAGATAATAAATTCTTTTTCTTATTATTTCAATAAAAGCTGTAACTTTTTAATTATTATTAGTTAAAAATTATATATATGATAGATCTAAGTTTCAATTTATTTAAAAAAATTAATTAGTTTAAAAAACAATTTAGAATGTATACTTATATGCGTTATGTATTTAGGTACAACTATGTAAAGAATGCATAGAATGGGCAAAGGAAGAACGCAGAACGTTTTTAAGGCAATCGTTAGAAGCACGCTTAATAGCTCTTTACTTTGACACGGGCATGTTCAGTGAAGCATTGCAATTGGGATCTGCTCTCCTCAAAGAACTCAAAAAACTTGATGACAAACAGCTATTAGTAGAAGTTCAATTATTAGAGAGCAAGACATATCATGCGTTGAGTAATTTAGCAAAAGCGAGAGCAGCACTTACCAGTGCGAGGACAACTGCCAATGCAATTTACTGTCCACCTAAAATGCAAGCGGCTCTGGATCTACAATCGGGAATATTACACGCTGCGGACGAACGAGACTTTAAGACTGCTTACTCTTACTTTTACGAAGCTTTTGAAGGGTATTGTGCGATCAGTATTTTAAACCATCACATATAGTCCATTTTGCCAAATAATATACTATCTTTGTATTTGTATTTTTAGGTATGACAGTGTTGAAAGTCCCAAAGCGCTAACGGCGCTCAAGTACATGTTATTGTCCAAAATCATGTTGCGTACGCCAGAAGATGTTCAGACTATTATGTCGGGCAAACTGGCTGTGAAATATGCGGGATTGGATCTAGATGCAATGCGGGCAGTAGCCGAAGCCAGTCATCGACGATCGTTAGCAGATTTTCAAAAAGCGGTTAAACAATACCGACAGGAATTGGAAGACGATGTAATTGTACGCGCGCATCTTGGTTCTCTCTACGACGCTATGCTGGAGCAAAATTTATGTCGTTTAGTCGAACCTTACTCACGAGTCCAGGTATTTATACGAATATGTTGGAATTCTTACATTTCTTTGTAACTATAAGTTATTTACTCTCCTCTCCTCCTCCTCCTCCCAATTGAGTTCTCAAGATACAAAAAATTTATTGAAAGTTAAATATTTACCCCGCGATAGAACTTGACGTTTTAAAATGTAGTTTACTTGAATTGCCAAAGTGTTCAATGACAAAATTAAATCTAAGAAGAAATCAAATATTGATTTATTAAAGTGATTTGAAAAAAATAAATTTGAAGAATAATATAATATTTAATAAAATAATTCTTGCTTTCTTACATATGGTTTTTTCGAAGGTGAGTCATATTGCTTCGTGCATATCTTTGCCATTGGCGCAAGTAGAAAAGAAACTGTCGCAGATGATTTTGGACAAGAAGCTACGAGGGGTTCTCGATCAAGGAGAAGGCGTTTTAATCGTTTTCGAAGATACACCACGTGATAAGACCTATGAAATCGCATTAGACACGATACACAGCATGGGAAAAGTCGTCGATACACTTTACCAGAAAGCCAAGAAACTCACCTAGCCCTATTTAATATGTATTTATACAAGAAAAAATCTATCGCAATTATTATAACCATTAATAATTAGTTACTCTCATTAAATACTGTCGATTAACTGTATTTTTCTCGTAATTAACGTGAACGACACGGCAAGTGTCATGAACAAAAAGTGCTCATTTACCAATACGTTTGTATAGGATCGCTTTTATTAATTGTAGGAATTGTTTAAAAAAAATGATAAATACGAAATAATCGATTTGCTTGAGATCTAATCCCGCGTCTTTGAAATTATTTTTCGCGCGCTTGCGCTTAAATAATCAAGGAAGTGAAGAAAAATGTCATAACACCGAAAAAAAAACCATCAAATATAAAAAAGGTAAAAGAATTATTCATTCATTTCTTATTCGCCCTATACAAGAAGTCAATTTTACATTTTGTAAAAAAGCTTTATATCGGTTTATTTGAAATATGTTGAATGGATACGTTGAGATAGTGAAATATAATTATAGTGAAATATAATTTAAATTTTTTGTATTGTACTTTCAAGTAGTTAGATATGTATATACTTTGAGTTTTCTTTTCAAATATTTTTTAATTCAGATATAGTTATTATCAGATGACAAGATTGATTGTTACAAGCATAAAGGCCCAGTGTTAAGATAGACAGTTGCGCAATCTTGTCAACAATCTTTCATCAATAATTTATTAATATAATTGTTTCACATTGTTGCGATCGTTTTATCGAGATATGTATATGAACTGATCCCACACAATAAAGGCCAACATGATGAACCGTTTTGGCGCAACGTTCGCAATCGCATCGGAGTATTTCAGAATTGCTGAATCATTCTCTGCGTAATCGATAACGTTTTCGCGCGATTCTTATTTGAAAAATCGATTGTCCTTTCGATCATGCGCATGCAGCGACATCCACGGTACCTACAGCATTTATTTCTTGCTCCTTTTTTCTCTCCCTTTTACTTTCCCTTAAAAAGGTAAAATATATTTTTAACTTTATTTTAGATGCAAGAAAAGTGCATTGAAAAATATAATTAAAGGCAAACGAAGATTTACGAGGAAGGAATTGTCGCTTGACGACAAGAGAAGTGAAGGAACACAACGCGACGACAGCGCCTTCCTGTTTGATCTTGCACGTTTTAACAAAGGGACATAAGTGTTTAGGTTTAGAAAGCAATCTTTTCCTACGAAAATTATGATGGAGAAGGAAAATGCTACAACGGAAAAGGTAAACCATTTTGATCGTGCCGTTGATTGTCGCGTCATCGATGCGAGAGGATGAGGAAATTCGGAAATGAGTTCGATGGAGCGACAATAAGGATGTTTGTTTAGGTTAAGCCGGTATTTACGCGACTGGCTGATAGTTGCGTTGCGTCTGCCTCTCGAGACGCTCTGAACTTTATCGTCGAAATCGGCATCGTCGTTCAAGTCTTCCCGATTTCTTTGTTTCCTTATCCATCGCATATGCTGCGTCACATACTGCAATTATCGGATATAATGAGAAAAAAATACCACTGAGAAACGTATACTGCTTAACCTCTTTCATAAATGTTAGCTCAGCTTCCACATCCACACACGCGTTTCTCGCTCGTTTTCCGCGAGAATGAGATGACATACGACCGAACTTCGTTAAATTTTATCTTGCTGATGCTATTAACAATTGTTGTTTAATAAACAGTTTAATATGAACAATCAGTAATGTTGAAAATCGCTTCTTATGTTAAGCATTGTAAAAGAGAAGAGACGATGTTGATGTTAGTTTCAATTATTGACATCTTTTCTTTAATTCTTTATACAAATGGCTGCGATAACGATTTACATAACTATAGATATATATATACATATATATATACACACAAAATGTGTATGTATATATATATATATGTATACAAGATATTTGAAAATTTAACTGACAAATTAGGCCTTGGGTAAGATCGGTGGCGGCTGATCCAGTCAGTGAAGGTAATCTTGACTTGACCTTGTTGATACCATCCAAAGTCAAACTCATAAAGTTAGTTAAATAGATCTTTTTACAACTTTTGTCTGAAACAATTTTTTATAAAACATATTTTTGAGGATATTTTGAGGTCCAACCTTTTTTGAACATTGCCGTAGCAATAAAATAACACAATTCCGATCTTAAGTCCATTTGCAAGAAGTAATTCTTTTATTGCCTCCGACAATCTCTAAAAGTTTGGTTGAATTTCCAAACACCAAAAGTTATATATTTTGCTATATACACACACACACACACTCACTAAAATATATAACTTTTACCTCCTGCCAACTTTAATCGCCAATTAGTTCATTGAAATTGGTTAACTGCATTTGTCTTTGACATCAGAGTTGGTAAAAGTTATGCATAATACATTACAATAACTTGTCAAAGTTACGATGTACATACTACAGTTCCTAAAAAGTAATGACCTTAATGCTAAAACTTATTTCTTTTCTCCAGGTGAAGAGTTTATTTATAATTTTTTAAAGATACACAGAAGAAGTAAAAATGATTGTAAACTATAATGAATTTTTATGAGGAATTTTTATAAAGAATCACTTCGAAAGTCTATCTACTTTAATATTTTATATAATTGTATGTTTCATTTTTATGACTCATGTATGTTACCTAAATACATTCAAATAAACTTGATTCAGAGACAATAACATCTTGTTGATATTTAGAAATTTATTAAGAATTCAAATATTTATTAAAATATAATATATTTTTGTATCTATAAATAGTGTATATATATACAAAACCATCAAATTTTTATGTTTTATACTGGTTGATGTTTTATATAATGTTTTTATACTTTATATTATATTGCTTTATGTATATAATATAATATATATCTACATATGTAATTTTATATCATATATTTATCTCTAGAATACAAATCTACAAACATATAAAAGAAGCAAATTTGTTAATTATTCTTTCTTTAAACAATATAAGAATCTGTATAAGTTACTATTATACTGTAGAAATATATTTTATATACAAATGTATATACATAAACAATTGAATAGTTTGTCATAACCTATTAAAATTGTATCAAGTCGCATGTCATAAATAATTATGTATAATACAATTTGAAATTTATAGAAAAGTTTCTGTCTAAAAGTTTCTTTTATCAGACATCCATCTCTTCTTTGTGCTATTTAAATTACTGTTTGACTTCTCTGTAATGTTTTCCACATTCTCTGGAAATTCTAATTTAAGTAATGCAAGGAATGGATCAAATAATGTGTTACCAAATGGTTACACAGAAAATGAGGTAGATGTACAGAATAAATATGATTTACATATTCCAACATAATTATTTATTATCTAAACATTGATGCTATTAGTATTTTTACTACAAATATATTTTATAATATTTATACTGTTTATTTGTTTTTGTTAGAACGTTATATATAAATTATTTAATATAGTTGTACAAAGTTTTATACATACTACAAGAAATTAGAAATATGAAGATTAAATTAAGGTTAAGTCATTTAATATAGTCATTGTATCAAAATATATTTTTTGAGTTTGCTTTACAGGTTCAAGAATATAAGGACTCTCTTATAACCAAGGTAATCTTTTTCTCTCTTTTTGATAAATCTACAATTTTAGATTCAAAAAACATTATTTGATAATATATGTATATCAAATGACAGAGATTAAAATATAAATATATTTAAATTTATTTATGTTTCAGGCAGAAGAGTTGTTGGTGAAAGGATTTCCAGAGAAAATAGTTAAATTAAATGAATTATTGGAGACGCCTGGATTTTGTAATCGAAAGTTGTCAGATGTACACCAAGACTTAAATGTACCCATTCCAGACCCTATAATTCTTAATCATTCCGAAGATGCCCCTGCTACAAAAAAACTTAAATTGGACAATAATGGAGAAGAGACCAGTGGAACCAAAGTTCTAATACTTCCAAGTGGTTCTGTACCTTGCAATAAAAAGTTATGTGATTTGATTCACATAGTTAAACCCTACATTAGACAACTTTTGGAGGATTCCAATTTGGTAAGTATTAAGTATGTCATGATTTATATCTAAACTAGAGCAACATTTTTATAGCGACTATTACGTTGTACAAAGAATAATATATTGTATTAGTAAAAATTTCCAAAATAAATATAACTTTATTATATGTAAAAAAATTTCATTTTTTACTATTATTAATATCACAATTTTTTAAGCATTTTTTAATTATTTTTTTAATTCAGCAATTATTTTTAATTTTCTAGCTAAAAATGTGGATTTCTTTTTTAATTCCAAAAATCGAAGACGGGAATAACTTTGGAGTATCTATTCAGGAAGATACATTATCTGAAATTCAATCAGTTGAAAGCGAAGCCGCAGCATTTTTCGATCAAATTTCTAGGTGATGTAAAGAAAAAAAAAACGTATAGATAAAGTTTATGTGCGGTCGACTTTGTTCAAGTAGTATTCAACATTTACATATTAATGCTGATTAAATTAACATATAATTAATAAAAACATCTTATTTCAATTCTTTTTATCTTTACAGATACTTTATTTCTAGAGGAAAGATTATTAGTAAAGTTGCGAAATATCCACACATCATTGATTATAGAAGAGCGATTCAAGAACTAGATGAAAAGGAGTATGTAAGCTTATGGCTTGTCATGTGTGAAGTTCGTAATCGTTATTGTTCACTGCACGATCTCGTGATCAAAAATCTGGAAAAGATCAAACGGCCACGTTCATCCAACGCGCAATCCTTGTACTAATAGGCACGGTTTTACGCGCTGTACTTACGTACGGAATTATTCAACACAAACATAAGTCGGAAATATAATAATAAAGTAAAATTCATCTCCTTCTCCTATTGACACAATTCAATTGCCTTGACATTAATCCATCATTCATTCTATCAATTATGGCACTATAAATAAAACGAATAGCTACACTTAAACTCTACGAAGTTGTATTACGTAGATTATACTTAACTTATTCGTATATTTAAGTTCACTGACTTTTTTTATCACTAATATATATATGTATGAAGTATCTTTCAATTAGATTTTAAGAATAAGGAAATTAAGAATTTTTTTTTAATTTTCTCAATAGAAACTTCACATTTCTTTTGGAATAATAGTTTATTTTATAATCTTTATTAGCATGTGAAATTTCGATATTTGAATATTATATATATATATATATATATATTACACATACATAATTTCTTTACATAAATATGTTATGAAGTTATGCAGTGTAGCGAACTTACATGTAATTTTGCCAATTATATAATTGAAGTACTTACAAAAAGAATATAAATGAGTGGTTGAAGTGAATTTAGTTTAGTGAAGTGAATATTACATCGTTTGTAATTTATATCTGTAAGAAGATTAAAAAACAAATCGAGCTATTAAGTAATGTGAATTATAAGTAGTATTCCCGTTTTGTAAATGTTTACACTTTGTCGCGATAAAATATAGTAAATATAGGATAAACACATGAGATTACATGGAATATGGTATCTACTACTCGAAATAAATTTTGTTCCAAGCTTGCAAGGTGCGGAAAAAATGAAAATAAAAAAAATATAGATATATCCTTTTTTATATAGATAGTTAAATGTAAAATCGATTACCTTTTCTCAACACGATAAATACATACTAAGGAATGAAAAATCAGGTAAGAGACACAATTCATTTCTGTATGATTTATATAAAAATTTATATAATTAAAAAGTTTGTCATGATTCACAATATAAAATTTTATATTTGGTAACTGAATGTCCTTGTGAAGTTTTTCTACATATATTAATTTATTGTCGTTTTTTCTTCATTTTTAATTTCATGTGATTATTTAATAAATGTTGCAGAATAACAGAAAAATATCACTTTATGGACATTCATCTGATTAATAATCAGACAAGATTAGAATAATGCTTTTTGCTATACACTGTTTATATAAAATAGTACTGATACTCAAATACATTAAAAAATACTCGTGATAAAGTGTGAAAATAGTGCATATTTTTGCTTATGCACAGCGTCATACTTTCCCTTTTTTCGTCACGATTCCATAAAAAGACCGGGATTGAGATAACAATGTTTGTTAAATCCCAATGACTGTACAGACGACGTCTGACATTCGTAGTTTATTGTTCTATGAACTTTCAACTCTGCATCAATCTGTAAATTATAATAATAGATTATTGTACTATAGTTAATCATCATATTTAAACATCTCGTAACATTTACCATGTTAAATAAATCTTGAAGGTGATTTGAGTGAGCATGGTTCATGAATACTTTACAAAGAATTTGTATAAACCAACTGCCAGTGTCAGAGTCTCGATAGGAAACATATCCAGGTAAAGTAGATTGAACTATAAGCATATCTGAATAATTTCTTATTGTTTGAATGTGAGGTGTTTTTACATTGTATTCATTCGTTGATTTCATTTTACAAGAATCTGTGGTGATTTTGGAGTGAGATACACCTTTCTGTATTTTCTTCCCTCTATATATATAAAAAAAAACCAAGAATATTAAGACAAGCGAGGATCATATTTGTGTAAAATGATACTAATTTTTTTCTAAATTTTCAATTTCATAGAGTAAAAAAATTTTTTTTAATCAAAATGTAGAGCTATGGAATACTTTCGTACCTACAAAGTTGGAAAATAAAGATCTTTGGTTTTTCTGCAAGTTGAGGGCAAGCTTCTGCAGTAAAGTAATCACAGATTTCTGTGCACAAAACTTTTTCATAGTTCGGTTCCCTGCTTACAATATGATAATCAGTACCTTGGATCTCTGTATTATTCTCTTTGTCTTCCATACCGTGACTTGTAACGATTACAAAGCATGAATCAACTTTGTTTAGATCGTCTCTTTTTGAAAATGTTTTAATTGTATTTTTTATTTCCTGATAAAAAGAAAAAATAATTTGATATTGTCAACTATATATTTCTTAGATTAATATATATAATAAAAAATATAATAACTATATATAAATGGTCTACAAGTTTGCTCCCGCCGTTTTTATAGGTATAAAACTATATGAAAACGGCGGGAGCAAACTTGTAGACCATTATTTTTTAAAAATATATATATATTATAAATAAAAAATAATTTGTTGAATATATTTGTGTATACCTGTCCTTTTAAATCAAAATAGGTAAAAACTGTAAAACCCATTTCTTCAAACAATTCCTTTAAATTATTATTGTCATGCTTTGCTGAAAATCTAGGGTTTTCACACGATGATTCATAAAAAATATTAGTGATTATCAATACCAATCCACGAGGGTTACTTCGCATGGGATATCGCTCAATGATATCATAATCACGGTCTAAGAATTTTGTAGCTTTACGTAATTTAATTGTTAAAGGTTCTTCAGAATAAGTATGATGAGTCATTGAATTTTCTTGCCTAAAACTTAAAGTATTGCATAAATGAGATTTTAGAAAAAGAGAATTCATGAATTAACATTTCTAAATATATCTAAAATTATTATATAATATAAGTATACGAAAAGTTACATTGAATCTGTAAAGGAACTCTACCTTGGACCAGATAAGAGCTAAAAAAGAAAAGTTAGAAAAAGAAAAACAAATCATAACATACTTTGTATCATTATTTGCACTATTTTCTTTCTCTAATATATCAGCTACATCTTCATGATTGGACTGTCTTAAACTAAGAATCAAATTTTTAAATGCATTTGGTCCTCGTGTTTTAATTGTTAATAATACATCTTTGACTGTATTTTGTGCCTCAAGGTCCTTCTATAATCAGATACATATTTATATATAGTATACATTTAGTTATACTTTTCTTTATACAGGCGCCTTCGGAAATATGCTGCAGAGCTGCCATTTTGAGATTTTTTTTTTGAAAAAATTACATTTTGTACTTCATTACTAACAATATAAAACCTACTTTACAGATTTTCGATTAATCCTTTCATTGAGCCAAAAAAAAATCCCGAAAATGTGCCTATTTTTTCGTGCTCTACTGTGATTTCCCCCCTTAATAATTTGATTATATATTATAAATTATACTTTTAGGTAAATTCAATTTAGATTGTTCCTAAAATATAAAAGAATTAATCTATCTGATTATTATTATTTATTATTATTTTTTATGTAATTATTTATATTTTATTAATAACTTTTATATATTTAAAATAAATTAAGAAAAATATATTATTTTTACATAAACCTTAACAAAAAACTAGAGAACAAACTATAGATTTGTTTGTGCTGCATGTTCCAATGTGTAGATAGAATACGGCAAAAGTGTCGAACTGCCCGAATTTCTCATTCTGCGGCAACGCCTCTCAGGTATGTTCCGAGCGCCTTTTGTGATCCCGGAGCACGTTAGAATTTATGAGTCGAAAGGAAGAAAGAACTGGTCGAAAGGAGAAAGAAGATGAAGAGATGGAATTGGAAAGCCAATTGTATGGTGCAGGCATCGCAGATTAAAGGTACAGGTTTGTCCGAAAAGTAATAGGACTGAGTGGATTAAAAAAAATTTATTGAGCCGATCGTTACAATTCTTTAAAAACTTTCAAAATATGCTCCTCCTGCGTCGATACAACGCTGCCAACGAGATTTCCAAGCCTTGAAGGCGTCACGGTAGGCATTTTCCGGAATGGCCTTTAGAGCCGCGGTGCAAGCTGCTTTGATCCCTTCTGCCGTCTCAAAATGCTGTCCTTTCATTGGTCTTTTCAGGAGAGGAAACAAAAAGAAGTCCGGGGGGGCCACATCTGGGCCCATATTCTGTACACGGCTACCGACAGTTGTCGGTAAGCGTGTACAGAATAGGCCCCCTGGGCTGTAGGGTGGCTGGGGAAACGTTGGGATGCCTGCCTGGGCCAGGTAGCTGCTCACAAGAAAGGAGGTGTGAGCTGGAGCGTTGTCATGGTGCAACTTCCAGTCGGCTGCGATGTCTGTTCGGACTCGATTGACCCTTCTTTTGAGTCTCTTGAGCACCTCCACGTAAAATCGAGTCAATCAGAGTCAATCGAGTCCGAACAGATATCGCAGCCGACTGGAAGTTGCACCATGACAACGCTCCAGCTCACACCTCCTTTCTTGTGAGCAGCTACCTGGCCCAGGCAGGCATCCCAACGTTTCCCCAGCCACCCTACAGCCCAGGGGGCCTATTCTGTACACGCTTACCGACAACTGTCGGTGTCGTTAAGTAGCGATAACCAATGGTAAGGACTGTTCTAGGAGAAAAGTACGATTCTTATTGGCTATCGCTACTTAACGACACCGACAACTGTCGGTAGCCGTGTACAGAATATGGGCCCAGATGTGGCCCCCCCGGACTTCTTTTTGTTTCCTCTCCTGAAAAGACCAATGAAAGGACAGCATTTTGAGACGGCAGAGGGGATCAAAGCAGCTTGCACCGCGGCTCTAAAGGCCATTCCGGAAAATGCCTACCGTGACGCCTTCAAGGCTTGGAAATCTCGTTGGCAGCGTTGTATCGACGCAGGAGGAGCATATTTTGAAAGTTTTTAAAGAATTGTAACGATCGGCTCAATAAATTTTTTTTAATCCACTCAGTCCTATTACTTTTCGGACAAACCCTGTATATAAGAATATTCTATGATTTTTCACAGGGAATGGAAGTAACTCGTTACTTGTAACGAAGTACAGTTACAAGTTACTTTTTTGGTAACTTTACTGGTAACTGCGTTACTTTTTTTTTTTGGTAACTGTAACGGTAACGAGTTACATTTTTTGGGTAACGGTAACGAAATTTACAGTTACTTTTGTCGTTACTTTGCACACGATTGAACACGGTTCGATTG